GCTGTGTATGTGTAGTAGTAGTAGTAGTAGTAGTAGTAGTAGTAGCAGTAGTAGTAGTAATAGTTGTTGTTAAATGGAGAGAGGCTTTCTTGGAACTTGAATTCTACTGATGATCCCAGCAGTTATTTTTACTACATCTGAGAGGTACTCATGAGCAGATATGCAAAACTAAGCTTAAAGTAGTTAAGCAGCTTTTGGTTTTAAGAATTTTAATAAGGTTTTAAGAAGTAGGTATATGGAGTTCAGGAGGGCATAAATATAGCCATGTACGATGTGTGAGCTTCTCTTTATACATAATGCAACATATAAATGTAATAAATAATTTTCTGTTTGTGTATAATGTAACTGCATATTGACTACTGTCAATTCCTTATTATCTGTAAAAAAAGTCAGATTTATAATTTCCTTAATTTATAAATTTTACTCTTTATATATATCTAATATAACTGGATATTAATTACACTATTATAACATGACATGTAAATTAATATATAACTTTATATATATAAAAAGGGAAATCTCACAGGTAAGGAGTAATTATATATCTGACTTATTTTATAAATAGTGAAGACTCTGGTTCTAATATAGATAAGAGAAGAAGACTCCGATCGGAGAAGACTCCGATCTAATATAGATTATATCCCAGGTACCATCCTAACATCCTAAATTACTACAAGTTGGTGTCTGCTCTGAATTTGCACATCATTTCCTCTATGATGGAACTGTTCTTCCTAGGTTGGTACTGAATCCCCATCTGGTTTGAGATTGTATATACACTTAAATCTGAACTCTGTAATTTCTGTTTCATTAGAGGAAATTTATCTTCTTCAGAAAGTTGTTTTGTGTTGGAATAATATTTTAAGGTATTTAAGAATATGGCTTTCTTATGCTGTCCATTGACAAGATAGATATCATTGTATTAAAAATGTTTATTTGAGCCCACCTAACATTTGATCTTGTTTAAACATCTCTTCTTGTTTATTTTAAAATTAGATTGAATAATTGTCCATTTCCTTTTTTTCTTTAAGTCAGATTTAAAGATTCTCAGTGGCAGAATTACTCTCTTCCAGAGTTATGTAAATACAGAATTAAATTGAACATTTTAGATAGTGTTTCTTAGTTGCAAGTGTGAGATTGCCTAAAATCTGAAAGGGATTCAGTTTTATAAAGGCCTATTATGTTGAGTTGTTCACTTCTTTACTTTCTGAGATTTATTTAGCATTTATTTTCATTATAGGAATCTTTACCAGTTTCACCTGCATTTCAGAAATAAGATAAAATGTTAAAAAGATGGCAAGATATCAAGCTATGGCCATGCTCTAGTAAAGTGACAGTAGTAAAATAAATTAATTGTGATGCCAACCAAGTGTGCAGACATTACCTCTAAATGAAGCATCAGTGAAGTATTGACCTACAGCCCAGATCATGACTACAAATAAAAGGATATAGTAAAAGATTGCGGGGCACCTGGCTGGCTCACTCAATGGGGCATACAACTCTTGGGGTTGTGAGTTTGAGCCCCATGTTAGCTATAGAGATTATTTAAAAATAAAATCTTAATAAAAAAAAAAGAGTTGTGATATTATCTATGAAGAGTTTTGACCCATAGTAGAAAAAAGTAATATAGTTTTAAATATAATTTATTTAATAAATAAATTTTAATTTCTCTTAAAATGAGGTCTTTTTAAAATTATAAATAATTCTATGGATTATTAGGAGGAGCATGGTATTTAAAGTGAAGATATTTTTTTCTTGACATCTGTGAATTGTTGATTAATTGCGACCTTCACATCTCAGCTGTATTTCCTTCAAGTGACTAAATTGTATCCAGTTTCATGAGTGGCATGTATAGTTGCCATAAATTTTTAAGCCAGACTCTTTGTTTTTGCCTTTATGTGAGTATAGTAGATCCTCAGTTTTGACTTTTGGAGAGTGATAAAACATTTCAAATTCAACTAGTATGTTTCCTCTCATAAGAATACAGTTAATAGCTTTTAAGCTTTAAAAATTCTATTATAGGATTAAATATGGTGATATTTCTGAATCTTCAGTTATATAAGTTAGGCTGAATCATTACTATGTGAATATTCTCTGGCTCATCTCTGCCATAAATATATAGACTTTGAAGATAAATTTATTTTTTTAATATTAATTAAATTGATTATTCTTTATTTTAATTAAATAACCCCTAAATTTAATAGTCAACAAATTCATCCTTTGGCTTCTTGCTTACAGTTGTAGATAATTATTGTTAATTCAATTCCTAGTTTGTGATGAAGTGCTCCCTACTGTATGCTTGCCTTGCTTTCACCTAGAATCTAGGGCCATTACTTTCTGTAACCATTTCAGTGAGCTGCCATAGTTTTCAGTCTGTACTGTCACCTGATCCAAGCATGCGCCAAAATATCCACTGTTTCTGGCTCCTGTCTGCTGAATATGCTTTGCAAAACCCTTTGTTCTCTGAGCTTTTGCTTAAGCCAAAAACAAAATTTAACAAATTCTTTGGAGTGTGGACATATGCCATTTGCTTCCTTAGCTCCCCTGTTATGTAACTCTTTAGCTTTTATTAAACTTGTAAATATTGTATTAAATACAACAATGGCATCCCCATGTGCAGTTGTGTGGCTCATGTGTCAAAATAAAGGCTGCTTGTGAACTTGCCAGAAGAATATGAATGCTCCACTTGCGCTGCATTCAGCTTTTTGTTTTGTTTATTATTTTTTTTAAATCAGCCACTTACTCTTTCATAGTGTTTGGTTTAATTATCTGATTATTTTGTGTGTTATACCAAGGTAAGTTTGATGTATATAAACTTTGTATTCTATGTGGTTATATGTATTTCATAGTAATTATTACTTACTTTCCCATTTGGACATGCTGGCCATTTCTAAATAAATATATCCTGAACTTAAAATAAGTAACTTCCTCCATTTTTTTAAAATTAATTTAAAAAATAATGTTATAGATTACTTTCTGTAAAATTCAATTTAAAACAGAAAGGCTGCCATGTATTACTTGTGGCACAGATGTAGGCAAATCTAATGTGAGAAAATCTGCTTTTATAGAAACATAGTATACAGTTATTTGCTTTAGCAAATAATATTTTAAATTCCCAGAAAGGTTTAAAAAGTAAATAGCAGGTTCTACTAGTATTTTTAAAGAAAAGTTAAACTTTATTTTACACAGCTTTTGAGGGAAAATTGTTGTTTTTCAAACTGAGATGTATTTCTCTTATTATCTATGATACTTACTTTTAGAGAATCATAAATAAGTTGATAGATTGAGCAACTGCTTGAGTAAATTTTTGTCTTATGATAAAAATTCCCTTATTAAGAAAGGAAGACATTAAATAGATACCCAAATTGGTCTGGGAACATGTATACCTAAAAAAGAGAATGGGTTTGAGAGTGTATTTGTGCTGTTAATGTCTGTATTTCAGGGGGAATATGAAGAAATTCTTTAACATAATAATGTATGTGCTACCTAATTGCCTTACACATTTCTTACACAAAATTGGGCTACCTAATTGCCTTACACTTTTCTTAATTCATAATATTGATTGCTAATACCATATTGTAGTCTTTTCTATTTTTCTTCTTTCTTTATTTTATCTTGTCCTTGGATCTCTTCCTCAGTTTCCTGGAGTCTGGATTTCTTTGGTTTTTTTTTCTGAAAGACAGTTTTAGTGTAGCTCTGTCTTGGATCCAAAACTTTAATACAAGAACTGGCTGGCATCATTTGTAGCTCTGGCTTTTATCTCATTTCTCTATTTTGCTGATCCTCCTCCCTGTGGAGGAAACAAAATTACCTCCTAGGAATGTCAGCTATAACAAGCCTCTTAACCTTTCTTTATTTTACTGTCATCAGTATTTTACTAGTGAGTATAATTCTCCTTATTCTGCTTATTTAAAAAACATTTTGAAAACTGAGTATGTACTGAAATTCAAAAAAGAAAGCTTTTGGATTGTTTGATTTTCAGTTTTAATAGTGCCTTTTATATGGAAAATTTACAGCAGGAGGTTAGCATCCTATTTTGAGTTAGATTAAGTTTTTTCTATCCCAAATTGTTCCCAAATGGAATGGGCCCCCAAAAGAAACACATTAGGATATGCTCATTATAGACTGTTTCTGTTTTTAACATCTTTGCACATGAAATGTTACTATAATTTGCAGCTGCTCTTCACCAGTACTTTGTAGCTAAATGCAAGTGATTAGGAAGGATGTGTGCCAGATGCTCCATTTATAATGCTCTATTACAAGCAATATTGGACTCCTCTGTGGTAATAAAATGCAGTGCTGTGATTCTGAGGCATTTTCTTAATTACAGAACCATATATGAAGTTACAATGTACTAACTGAAATTTGTCCTTATATACATTAACCAAATTATTTGTAATAATCTTTAAATGTATTTGCTTTCTTTATTTTTAAATTGGCTAGTCCCTTCATTTCTTGTTACTTTGCTTTAGGACCCACAAGGATGGCTACATGGCTTTCTCTTTTTTAAAATTGACAAATATTTGCCTTGGAAAAAACCTAGAATATAGTGGGTTATAAAAAAAAATAGGTACCAGGAAATGAAATCAGAATTTAAATTAAACTTATGGATATGACTCAAAATGTTCACTGAGCAAGGTGAGTGAGACACAGAATATCCTCTCAGTTTAGGATTAGAATCTGGAAACTCTGGGTCTACATTTTAAGTTGTAGGTAATAAAATACCTCTCTATAGATGTCCCCTGAAGTAAAAAGCAAGTAGAACTAGCTGGTTTATTTTCTATCAATCAAGTTTAAAATGTTAAACTTTTTTGGAAGTAACATTGAATTAAAATGTTAATAAACCTTTTGAGAAATAACATTTTAAACATGTGAAGTCAGTTTTAAAATCTGTTATAGACCAGTATGTCTTTGCCTTCCAAAGTATGTTCATTTTAAACATTTCTTTATCATATAGACAATGTGCTATTGAGTAGTGAACTGATTTAAAATTTATTTTTCAGATGAACCAGAAACTCGAGATGCGTGGTGGGCAGAAATCAGACAAGAAATAAAATCACATGCTAAAGCATTAGGCTGTCATGCTGTAGTGGGCTACAGTGAATCAACTAGCATCTGGTAAATGATAACTTGATTTCCTAGATGCTGTAATTTACAGATTGTCATCTGAAAGGGTAAAAGTTTTATGCAAGTATAGAGAAAAGAATTGTGTCATGATCTAGGAGCATGGGCCTTGGGAGTACATCAGACCGAGGTCCATGTGCCACGTTTGCCACTAAATTGCTGTAAAACTTGGGGCGCCTGGGTGGCTCAGTGGGTTAAAGCCTCTGCCTTCGGCTCAGGTCATGATCCCAGGGTCCTGGGATCGAGCCCCGCGTCGGGCTCTCTGCTCTGCGGGGAGCCTGCTTCCTCCTCTCTCTCTCTCTCTGCCTGCCTCTCTGCCTACTTGTGATCTCTGTTTGTCAAGTAAATAAATAAAATCTTTTTAAAAAAATTGCTGTAAAACTTTGGGAAAGTAACTACTCCTCTGAGCCTCAATTTATAGATTGAAATGGAGATAATGACCACCTATCAATTAAGGTTATTGAAGAATTAAATGAGAATTGATACTGGCACTTAGCAACTATTAATTCTAGGCCGACTACTCCATTTTGTGACCCTGCTAATTCCTTCCTCTGGAATATTGGGACCCTTGATCTGTTGTAAATGAACTCCCATTTGTCTCTTAAGTTTGTCTGTAAACTCTTTCTGCCTTCTTTCACTAATCCTGCCAACACATCATCCTTCTTGTCTCTGTCAAGTTAGGAAGGGACTTCTATACCTTTACTCTCAATTCCTTTTTCTCCTACCTTTCCTTTCAACAAACTCTGTTATTTTAAAGTCCTTGCCATTCCACAGTTCAGACTTTACTGCCTCCAAAATATTCTTCCGCCTTTCTTAATTCTCTGCTATCTCCACCAATTGAACATGATTACCCTCCTTCCAACAGCTTGACCTTGTGCTTTCTCATTCATAAGTCCTCCTCTATCCCCACTTAACTTTCAACCACATTTTGGACTTCATTATTCCTCAAAACTGTTTACCTTTAAAAATTTTGAAACTATAAAATTTCACTCTTGGATCACAGCTTGATATTTTCCATCCATCTCATTTGCCCATTTACATCTGGCTTATTTTGACTCTTACCTTGACCAAGACTTTGCCCAGTTCCTTACTCAGGTTCTGATTTAACTTTATGACTGCCATTGATGAACCCTGTTTTCAGCCCCTCAAAAAGTTTATTCCAGGGACTCCTGGGTGGCTCAGGTCATGATCCCAGGGTCCTGGGATGGAGCCCCGCATTGGGCTCCCTACTCAGCGGGGAGTCTGCTTCTCCCTCTCCCTCTGCCTGCTGCTCTGCATACTTGTACTCTCTCTCTGTCAAATAAATAAATAAAATCTTTTAAAAAAAAGTTTATAACAGATATCCTCTAGAAATTGTTTGACCTTCTGCTATCTTATTTTTCCACCTATTCTTGAATAATTCTTACTGTCAGCTGTTACATCGGTAGTTCTCTTGTGCTTTTGGTGGTCTTTATTGTTAGGAGAAAAATGATTAGACTCCAGTAAATGTGGACATTACAGAGACATGCTGTTTCATCTTCTGAGGGCCCTTTCTTTTCTTCGGCTGACTATGTATGATGTTCTTGCACCTTCTTGTCCCCAGTGTAGCTGTTCTACTTGTGTTAAACTAATAATTTTTTATGCTTATCCTGCCTTACTTCCCAGTAGATAGTCTTGGCTCATTCATAGTTTTAGTGTCATATGCTTTCAGTTCCTAGGGTTATAGTTTTTTTTTTTTTTTTAATTTTTAAAAAAGATTTTATTTATTTATTTGACAGAGAGAGATCACAAGCAGGCAGAGAGACAGGCAGAAGCTGGGTGGGGGAGGGAAGCAGGCTCCCCGCTGAGCAGGGAGCCTGATGCGGGACTCCATCCCAGGCCCCTGGGATCATGACCTGAGCTGAAGGCAGAGGCTTAACCCACTGAGCCACCCAGGTGCCCCCTAGGGTTATAATTTTAAAATATGTAGTGGTGGGTTTTTTGGTTTTGTTTTTTAAAGATTTTGTTTATTAGAGAGTGCAGGGGGGAGGAGCAGAGGAAGAGAGAGACTCCTAAGCACAGAGACTGACTCAGGGCTTAATCCCATGACCCAGAGATCATGATGTGAACTGAAATCAAGAGTGGGACACTTAAACAACTGAGCCACCCAGGAGCCCTTAAAAGTTAGTTCTTGCCATCAGATTCATTTCTCCTGGAGGATTATGACAAGTATAACACATTTTATGATAGGGATGCTGTGGGATCTAGAGGGTTGGAGTTTAGAAGTAAGATCGGAAGAAAGTGTTAATGAAAAAAAAAAAAGAAAAAGTGTTAATGAAGTAACTGAAACTTCAAACTAAATCTCAGGGAATGAGTGTGAATTATGTGAATGAAGAGAGGAGGCATGAGGGGAGTGTTCCAGGGCGGAAGAATAGCATACAGAGAAGTCCAGAGGTGTAGATTCAGTGTGGCAGGGGATAGGTCACAGATAGATCCAGGGATCTACAGAAAGGAGTCAATTTACCTAGACGTTTGAATTCACCTGATTCAAGCTTCTTTTTTCCCTCTGGACCTCAAAACAAGTCTTTGTGTTTAAATCCTATCTATCTACACATTTTTTTTCTGTTCTAATCCATCCGATTTACTATTACTGGATGAACTCTCTGAAATGTACTTCTGCTCTCATAGCTCCTTCTTACTTAATCCAGTACTCTCCGAGGCTCCACGTTATTCTTTGGCATTTCCAGTGCCCACTTAAACATTTTAAGCCTGGCCTCTCTCTACTCAATTACAGATCAAGTGACCATTTCTTTCATGTCATTTCAGGGTTCTGGTCCGTTTATACTTTGTTTTCATCATTTTGTCCCTTGACCGCTACTTTTGTCATTTGCTTTAGGTGATATCATTCAGTAATTTTATTGATCATTTAAAATTAGGTAATATGTAATAAAGAAAGAATTCTTTTGAAAATCACTTTTTATCATACATATAATGATGTAGTTTAAGCTACATTTAGTATATTTTGAATACTATTTGTTTCAAATACATTTTGTTATTAAGTTTAAAGTAAGGTATAGCAATAATGACATTGATCATTACATATTAAGCTTTTAAAGTAACTTTAATAAACTTTAATGTCATTTAAAGAGTGCTTTAATATAGTTTTATGGATTATTGCTGAATTCAGCAATATAATTTGTTACTTTTATTTTGAAACATTTCAGTATTTGTCAGTTTTACCATATTTTAAAGGAATTTATTGTCATTAATATTATACTTTATCTTTTATACTTCTAAAGTAGTAACACTTGCCCTTTTCATTTTAATAATTATTTCTATCTTTTATTCTAGGGTAGGAGATAATCCTATGATATGATTAATATTTAGTAGAGTCTAACTTGAATTTAAATTGTCACCCTTATAATCACTTTGATATTGAACACTTTCCAAAGCTAGGCTGCCTGGAGATAATAACTATTTAATATTTTTTTCTCTTATAGTGAAGAGGTCTGTATTTTATCTGCATCCGGCACGGCAGCTGTACTCAACCCTAGATTTCTGCAGGATGGCACCGTGGAGGGCTGTTTGGAACAGAGGTTGTCATGGCAGCCTTGCTTCTTTTCTCTAAGGGCAAGGAAGGGAGAAGTTGACTTTTAACTTTAGAGCCAGGATAGTTCTGTATGAGGGTGGGTTTCAGTGGTACACTGTAGGGATCAGGACCAGGGCACTTTACTGCTTTTTACCTAAAGAAGTACTGAGTTCTATACTACATGACACACCTTATTATAATTTTCCTAGTATCTTGATAAATTACATGTGTGACTATCAAAGAATTTCAAGTATTTATTTTTTTGTTTGTTACAGTATAGAAATAATTTTTTATTTTTTCCTTTCCCTTTGTCTTACCTCTGAAACAGAAAAAGGTCATAAAACAATTTGCATAAAGAAAATTTATAATTTATAAAACAAAACACTATTTTACCAAAATTATATATAAAAGTTCCTAGAAAGTGAAGTATAACTTTAATGTTTGTGAAAGAGAAAGTGAAAGTGAAATTAAATGAGATTACTTTTTAGTTTATTTATTCATCCCTTAATCTATCTGTAGGCTTCCAAAAATGTCAAAAATGCTTCCCATAAACAGATGAGATTATCAAATACACGTACAGAAAACTGTTTGGTGCCAGAGTATACCTGGATAATGTAAATTTTAATTACCCCTTACTCCACTGTTTGCATACTTGCTTTATTTTTAGTGTAAATTTGCAAATCTCTGTATAACAAAAATATTCTAGCTCAGGCAGGCAAACAGAAGACCTTGGTCGGTTTCTTCTTTAGCTTGTATTAAAAATGGATTTTGACCATAATATATTACTGAGCATTGAAAGTCATCATAAATAGGAAAATAGATATGTGGAACATTGTGAAGTATATTAAAAATCAGAGTGTTCTGTTGAGAAAACTGCCTGCTGGTGAGTTGTCCAAGTGATGCTCCATAGTTCTGACACATGTCAGTTGATTTTCATTCTTGAGTGGTTAGAAGTCTGATTTAACAAATGACCTTTCCCATGCAGCTTGATTATTTTGATATTCTGGCTTGGGTGGATACAGTGAATTCTCTTTTGTGGCATTCTAGTGCAACAGATACCATCCCTATCTGCAAAAGAGGAAAATGCCCTTTTTTCTTATTATACAATTATTTCTGCTTACTAGAGAAAATTTGAAAAATATAGGAAAGTAGAAGGAAGAAAACATTCCCCATGATCTCAATATTCAGAGATAGTCCCTTTTCTAGATTTCATATTTCAAATGCTTTCCTAAATTTAAATACTTCTATTTTTATGCCAATAATATTAAATCACTTAAGTTCAAATTTCTGTGAGGTGTTTAGTTAAAAATTGCCCCAGTTTTCATCCTTTTATGCCTTTTTGTAACACATAGGCTTTGGCTCAAACAACCTGACATTAGAATCTGAGGTCTGCTACTTAGTATTTAGTGTGACTGAACAAATTACTTAGTATCTCCAGTTAGTTTCAGGCCAAGAAGAACTAGTTTTTGTTACTGTTTGCTGCACATTATATTGGGTGTATTTAGCTATGCTTATTAGCCTTTCTGGGTAAGTATTATTATTCTAGTTTTATAGATGAGGCTCTGAGAGGTTAAATGACTTGTGCGAGGTCATACAACTCCACTTAGAATCTGTTTGATTTCTCTATTACTTCTAATATACCAGAATGCCATCTCAACAATAAAAGAAGAATATCTGGGAGTGATTAGATTTAGAGGGTTATTGTGGATATTTAGTGAAATAATATGTACAAGGAATTTGCAAGAAGCCTGACTCATAATAGATACAGTACAACTTTCCTTTCTCTTTTATTTGTCCACTTGCCAAGTTTCAACTTCTACTAACAGGTCACTTTAGCTTAGAGTGAATTGAGAACCCATGTCTTTCCGGAGCCCTAGAAGGTGTGGCTTTGTGAAAGTCTGGAGTTCTCCATGAACTTCCTTTTGCTTTCATTTCTGTTGTTCCCCGAATTTCCTGATATTTGATGAGTGAAAAAAATACTTAATCATTCTAAAATGAATTCATAAACATTATCACAACAAACATTTTACAGTGATTGGGAAGGTTGTGTGTGGTCCTTTGTGGTTTATATATGATATATATGTTATTTGTGAAATGGTTCTCCGAAATCTTAAAGCAGTCACTAGAAATTAGAAATGTTAGATTATGCCTATTTTGACTTTTTAAATTTTTAAATAGGTTTGTTTTTGATCATAATTTTTTTTTTTTTTTTTTCAAATTGTTAGATTGTCTGGTTAAAGAGGTTTTTCTTCCTTGGGAATTTTGTGTGTGTGTGTGTGTGTGTGTGTGTGTGTGTGTGTGTGTGATTATATTTGAGTTAAATTGGTATCTAACCATGTGTTTTTATGTTGTATCACAAAGAGCAACCTTTGGGATAATAGTGGTTTTTGTCAGGTGGGACAACCTCAAACTTATGAATTGATGCAAATCAGTGGCTACTTATGTAAGTCTTTTCTCTCATACGAAAGAGTATGGTTCTGATTTCATGGTCATTTTTAATTCTAGTAGACATAGTGGTACTCTCATAACCTACGGTGGTAGAAGTTGCAGTGTAGTGTGTATATAAGTATTGTATATAAGAAATGTTTTTGAGAAAAATGCATAGAATTTTAAAGACGTCTTCATTTGTTTTCTTTGTGTATTCATACAGGCTAGAAGAAAATTTGCCTGCTGGCTGTGGCTTTTGCCACATACCATATGATGAACTGAATATGCCATTCCCAGCTCATCTCACGTACTGCTATAACTGCAGGAAACAAAAAGTTCCTGATGTTCTCTTTACAACTATAGACCTCCCAATAGATGCAACCGTTATTGGAAAAGGTTGTCTTATTCAAGCAAGGTATATTTACGCAAACACTGCTTAGGGTCCTAAAAGAGTTACGGAGTATGAAGTCGAATAGACATGTTTCAAATGTCAGCTGTACTCCTTCCTACCTGTGTGATCCTGGGCAGGCTGGGCAATGCTATCTGAATCTTGTGTTTAATCACATACAAAATTGGGAGGAAGAATACGCTCTTTATAAAACTCAAAAAAGTTCATATACAAAAGCAGTTTTAAACATTTAAATTCTGTACAGACATTTATTATTATGAAGATTACTAATTAACTTGTTGTGGGCTAGTAATGTGTCTCTATTTTAAGGGCATTATGTAACACATTTTAGAAATTAATTTTTTTTCTTTTAAGGAACAATGCCATCTAGTGTTTCTTTTATTAATTCATTTAGCTGTTGACAGTTCCTTTTAAAATGTCCTGGATAGGACATGATAAATTGTGGTTGTCATGCAGGAAGTAGCTGTTACTGTCTAGGTCACTAACTACTGCCAGGTTGCCAAATCCATTGAGCAGTTCTGTCTTCCTCTTACTTGACATCTCAGCAGTATCATACAGTTGATCATTTTCTCCTTCATACTTCTTGACTTCATAGTGCCCCCTGCCACCACCTGCCCCAGGTTTTTCCTACCTTTTTGCATAATCCTTAGTCTCTTTGTTGATTCCTCCTCCTTTTATTGATCCTAGAAAGGCCATGGGTCTGGACCCTCTTCTCAAAGCTCTCTCCCCAGTTGAACTCATCAACTCCTGTAGGTCTGTGTGCTTTCTGTATGTTTGTGACTCTCACATTTACAACTCTAGTCCAGAACTTTCTTCTGAGCTTCAGACTCATATACTTTCATACCCAACTTTGAAGTCTTGTAGGTGTCATTTACTTTTTGAACCACTGATTTTTCTCCACTTCTTTCATATTAGCCTTCTTTATTTTATTTTATTCTGTTATTATTTATTTTTAAAAGATTTTGTTTACTTATTTATTTATTATTTATTTATCAGAGAGAGAGAACACAAGCTGGAGGAGCAGCAGGCAGAGGGAGAAGCAGGGTCCCCTCTGAGCAAGGAGCTTGATGTGGGACTCCATCCCAGGACGCTGGGATCATGACCCAAGTCAAAGCAGACTTTTAACTGACTGAACCACTCAGGCGCCCCTAGCCTTCTTTATTTTAACTAATGATCCCCTTGTTGTGTCTAATTCTTCATGTCAAATGTGGTATTCTTTGACACTGTCCTCCTGCCTAACCTCTCTGCATCAGAGTTATTTTACAAAGTCATGTTGAGTTTTCTTTTCTTTTTTAAGATTTTATTTATTTATTTGACAGACAGAGATCACAAGTAGGCAGAGAGACAGGCAGAGAGGGGGGAAGCAGGCTCCCCATTGAGCAGAGAGCCCGATGCAGGGCTTGATCCCAGGACTCTGGGATCATGAACTGAGCTGAAGGCAGAGGCTTTAACCCACTGAGCCACCCAGGCACCCCAAGTTTTATTTTCAAATGTATTTCTGATCTATTTACATTTGCTTTCATTTCCTCTTACATCTTGGACCTTCTATTTGGGATTGTTTTTCTTTTGCTAATACCCTTTAGTATTTTTTTTTGATGGGTCTGCTGCTGGTGAACTGTCTATTTTGCTTGTCTGAAAATATTTACTTACCTTGAAAAGGTTTTGGGCTGCCATTTATTTTCTTGCAGCACATTGAAGATACCCTTCCATTGCCTTCTGGTTTTTATTACTACTATTGAGAGATAACCTATTAGATTAACTTTTATTATTTGTCCCCCTCCCCCACAACCAGGCTATGTGTGAGTTATTCTGTTTGTCTTTGGTTTTCTGCAATTTCCCTGTGAAATGTTAGGTATGGAATTCTTTTATCTTAATTGCTGTATATTGGGATTCTTGAATCTGTAGATTCTTTCATGTGCTTTAGACAGTTTTTAGATATTAGTTCTCCTATGTTTCATCTCTTCTCTCTTCTTGATACTGAAATTAAAAATGTTAGACTTTCTCACTACCTTCTTTGTGTTACTCTCTTGTCTGTATTTTCTGTCATTTTGTCTATGTCATATTTTGGATACTTTCTTATCTATATTTAATTCTCTCATCAGCTGTCTCTAATATTCTAGTAAGCCCAATAATTGGGGTTTTAAATTTTTGATAATCTTTTTTTATTTCTGTCAGTTTCATTTTGTTCTTTTTCAAATCTTTTGTTATATGTTATAACCTGTGACTGCCTCTTTAATGGATAGCTTTAATATCTGAAAACTTTTTTTATTCTGTTATTTCTTTTCATTATTATTCATTGTGTTTTATTTCCTTAGACTGTGATAGGCTCACAGAAAGTTGCAAAAGTGGTACAAAGAATCCCATGTAGTCTTTACCCAGCTTCCTTCATTGGTGGCATTTTATACAGCTATAGTAGAATATCAACTAGGAAATTAACATTGTTAATTGTTAACAGTTAATTAACATTGTTAACTGTTAACCATACTACAGACCTTACTCAGTTTTTACACTTTTTAAAAATTGCATTCATTTGTGTATTTGTGTGTATATGTATAATTCTATGCAACTTCATCCCACAGGTAGATTTGTGTAACCACCACCATAGTTAAGACACAGAACTGTGTTCCCTTACCACAAAAGAACCTCATTGTGCTGTCTCCTTATGTTTATACTCTCCACTAAACCCCTGCCCTCGTCCTGTGATGCTTTTAAGAAGATTCTTAGAAATGCATAATTTATCCAGTTTTTTGTTTGTTTTAGGTAGGAGGGAGTTAATGTCCACCAGCAGTTTTCAGGGTGTCATCCCTAGATTAGTAGGATCACCATCCTTGAGAGAACTTACAGAAATGCCGATTCTCAGGCTCTACTCCAGACCTATCAAATGAGAAACTCTGGGGATGGGTCCTAGTGATTGTTTTTTAATGAAATCTCAAGCTGAAGATTGGTAACTACTAACATTAATACCCTTATTGATTTGGGGATCTTTCCTTTATCTTTACTGCTGCCTTTTTAGTCTAAGCTGTCATTGTCACCTAAATTGCTTTTTGTTACCATTTCCTCATCAGTTCTGTCATCCTTATTCCATGTTCTGTGTAGGAATATAAATGATATCTTAAAACATAAATTGGATCATGTTACTACTTAAAAACCTACCTGAATTTCTCATTGCTGGTAGAATAAATCAGATTGCTTAGCATGACCTGTAAGCCCCTAACATGATCATGTCCCCGTTTAACTGCACCCCCATCCGTGCTGCTCTCACCCTTGCTCCCTTCACTTTAGCATAGTGGTTTCCTTTTGGTTCTGCTAATACGTCAGCCCCATTCCGTAATTGTGTTTCTCTAGCTTTCTTGGTTCCATCTTGTTTTTAAGATCCCAAGTCAGGTATCATCTCTCCTGTGAGGCCTTCTCTCTGGTTATTCCAATTCACGACACCTGGTTCATTTTCTTCAGACACCCGAGTCTTCAACAAAATCCAACCTTACCTTGTTTCTTTGTTTATTCCCATCCCCCTCCACTGGAATGTAGCCATGAGAACGGGGGCTCTGTGTTTTGTTTGTTGATTAGTGCTCACTATCTAGAACAGGGCCTGGCACATGGTAGATGCTCAGGGAAGTTTTGTGTTCTTTGAATGAATAAATTAACTTTTTTCCTTTGCTGTCCATTCATCATATGACCACATGGAGTTATGAAACCTAAGATTTTAAATTATATTCTCTAGTGATTTTGACTGGTAATTTTTTCATTTCTAGAGATTTTTGAGATTTTCTTTTTCATTAAGATAAGACTTTTAGCAAAAGCATACACAATGAAAAAACTGACAGAAAAGATTATTGATATAACTTAATAAGCCCATTTGAAACAAGTAAATGTTTTAATTAAGTACACTTACAGAAAGTTTTAAAAATTGGACATTTCTTGAGATAGTACCAAGAATACTGTCTAGTGACTGAATTATTTTCCTTAACAGGTTATGTCGCTTGAAAAAGAAAGCACAGGCAGAAGCAAATGCCACAGCTATCAGTAATCTGTTGCCATTTATGGAATATGAAGTACATACTCAGCTAATGAATAAACTAAAACTCAAAGGAATGAATGCTTTATTTGGACTGAGAATTCAGATCACAGTGGGTGAAAATATGTTGATGGGCTTAGCGGTAAGTTTAGATGTTTTGATTTTGTTTTGTGATTCCTGTAGTTGTAATAGATTGTTTCATGTGATTCAAAGAGTCTTTTAAAAGGACTTATTTAAAAAAACTGGCATTAAGATCTTTAAGGGTTGGGACATTATAGGAAGTAAAAAATAGGGTGATAGGCTTTTAAACATTTTATTTTTATAATTATGAATTATGTAAAATTCAATTAATGAAATTATATAGAATTTTATATTTATATTATTATATTTTTATATTCTGACAATCTCAATAGTCACATTTCTAAAAATTATCACGTGTAGCTTGTTTAGTAAGTGGGTCATCATTTTTCTGGACGTTATTATTTTTTATGCATTGCTAAGACAAGATTTCTCCTCAGCGCAGTTGACATTCAGGATTGGAACCCTCTTCATTGTAGGAGGCTGTCGTGGTCACTGTAGAATGTTTAGCAGCCACCCTGGCCTCCGCCCACTAAATGCTCTTGGCTTCCCTTCAGTGTGATGAACAAAAATGTTTCCACACATTACCAGATGTCCCTGCAGGGGCACAGTCACCCCTGAGGGGGAGGACCACTATGCTAAAATAATCTTTAGTTGTATGAAGAAAATAAAGCAATACATATGAAACAGCCTACGGCTGGATACGGAATTAAGTTTCATCATAAATGTGCTCCTGTGGTCAACAGTGGAATGTGCAATGAAGTATGTGTTTCTTTTTCTTTTTCTTTTTTTTAAGTATGTTTTTCTTAAGTGTTGATATATTGCGAGGCAGTAGAGGGGTGCTGGGTGTTTCAGTGGGTTGAGCGTCTGACTCTTCATCCCAGCTCAGGTCCTGATCTCAGGGTCATGAGTCTGAGCCTGCACTGGGCTCCATGCCCAGCGTGGAACCTACTTAAAAAAATAGAAAAAGAAACATTGTGAGGGAGTGGGAAGGTCTTTATCTCAGCTTTATGTTCACCTTGTCTTATTAGAAAAGAAGTTCTGACTAGAAAGTCATCATAGGGTAAAGCGAGAGTTGTCTTTATAAGTTGTTTGAGACCCAGAGAACTAGGTGCCTGCACAATATATACTGACCAGGTAGAAACTGATTAACAGTATTTATGGAAATCCTCTCCTATTTCAGACACTTGGCTAGCTAGAATCTTTATCTGTGACACTGGAACTTTCCAAATTGGAATTCTCTGCCATCTTTCTGAGATGCATAGAAATTTAATTTAAAGAAATTTATAGAACTTGATTTTTTTTTCTCAGTATGCATTTGTAGATTCAATGCTAAACTATTTCCTGTTCATGCATTTACAAATATGTAAATTGCTGTATGTAGGGGATAATTGTGTGATAATGATAAACTAATCAGGTAATCATGAATTCTATAACAAGAGAAATTTGCAATGATTAATGAAAGTAATCAGATTTAAAATATTTGATATCTAGATTAACTTGTGAAGAAAGTGTTCATTATAATTCATTCTTCTAAAAACTCTCATGCTTAGCAATTATTATACATGTATAATTTGGCTGAATACAAAACTGTCATTATTGGTGGGTGTCTGTGAGAACTAAGAGCTTGATTCAGATCCAAAGATTTAAAAAGCATTGTGCCAGCTGTATCAAACACTTATGGTGGTTGAGCCCCAGTAAACTAGTTTGTGTAATTTTTCAGTGTCTGCCTAAAATACTGCCTTTTCTGATTCTTGCTAGTCTTTTCCTTCTTGACCACTAGTGACACTCACTACAATTGTTTGAGATTTTGGTCTTTGTGCTGTGGTTTAGCTTGTGCACTTAAGTCTCAAGGCCCCAGGAGTAGCTTCCATGATAACTGATCTCTGATGAATGTCTACTGCGTGTCTGGCTCTGTGCTACTCCAGAAGGAATGTAAGGTTACTTTACTAGAGGGGAAAATGGATGCTGTGATAGATTGAGACTTGTCCAAAGTGGTATGATTACATGTACTGGAACTGAATTTCAAACCTAGGCCTGTCTTATTCCAGAGTCTGTGTTCTCAAGCTTTCTGGGCTGCTGCCTTGTTAGTGAGCCCAGTTAGAATGTGTTAGAGGTGGTGTGCTAAAGTTTCATATGGCGGGAGGGTTCTGAGGTTGAGTATTAGAGACTGGGTCATAGACACAGTCATGGGCACTAACAAACAAACCAGGAGAGAGAGCTTCTAAGGATCAGTTTCATCTACTGCACAGACATCATCATAGAGTATCATACCCTTTTTAGCATGAACTTTCACAAAATTGGCATTTGATTAGAAAGAATAATAATAACCCACACAGGAGTGTCTGGGACTCTTGATTTCAGCTCAGATCGTGATTTCAGGGTTAGGAGATTGAGCCCTGCATTGGCTCAACAGGGCATGGAGCCTGCTGAAGATTCTCTCTCTCCTTCTCTGCTCCTCTCCCCCACCCCCCCCAACTCACTTGCATACACTCTCTTAAAAAAAAAAAATTACACAGTTCAAAATACACAAGTATCCAGAGTTAAAAGAAATGTCTTTTCTTGTCTACATTCTACTCCTTCGATGTTAACAATTTGATATTTATACTTGTATATATATATTTGTTGCTTTGCTTATATAAGCATGTTTAAATGTAAATGCACATAAGGGTGTGTGTGTGTGTGTGTGTGTGTGTGTGTGTGTGTGTGTGTGTTTGTGTGTTTGTGTGTGAAAATATTGTGTTTCGTATTTCCCTTAATAGTTTTCTAATACTGCTGGCATGTGGTACCATTACAGAGTCAGAGATTAATAGTGATTTAATTAAATATTTAAAATAAATCTGTATTAAGTAGTTTCCTTTCTTGGTAATTATGAAGGTGGGGTGGTGTCATGAAAAGTTCTCGGGCTTTAGATTTTTTTTTTTCAAATTTGAGAGAAAGAGCCCACAAGCAAGAGGGAGGGGCCGAAGGAGAGGGAGAATCAGGCTCTCTGCTGAGTATCGAGCCTGAGGCGGGGCTTCTTCCCAGAATCCCAGGATTGTGACCTGGGCTGAAGGCAGACGCTTAACCAACCCAGGTGTCCCAGGTTCTTGGATTTTAGAATGAGAAACATATTCAAATCTCTTCTCCACGTTTATTGACAGTATGATCTTGAGTAAGTTTCCTGTCCTTTTTGAAGTTCAGTTTCTTCACTTGCTTTGCAAAAGTTTCCCTTTTACTTTGTCACTTTAAAGGGGAATTATTTAATCAATCATGAAACATTTACTTTTCAACAACTTTTAAACTTTTTTTTCCTACACTATTTTTCAATGCAATTTATTTTTTACAATCATAAGGTAAAAATTGAAAAGTACTGTTGGGTATGTAGTGAAAAGTAAATCCTTCTTTCATTGCTGTCCCACCTACCTACCCAGGATTCTCGCCAGAAGCAACCAATTCCTGTTACCAGTTACGTGTTTCTGTACTCTTCCAATGTACGTCCAATACATGCACTGATGCTAATTATATTTTTCCTGTAAGGCAAATACATCTTTCATAAATGTGAAAACTTAAGGACTATTATTCTTTAGATATTTTTTTCTGATTATTTCCCCCATTATTTTTACAAGTCGGCCACAGGTGTATATTTAGCAGCTTTACCAACGCCTGGTGGCATTCAGATTGCTGGGAAGACTCCTAATGATGGCTCCTACGAACAGCATATATCGCATATGCAAAAGAAGATAAATGACACAATTGCCAAGAATAAAGAATTATATGAAATCAATCCTCCGGTAAGTGAAATAAATCCACATTGTGACTATGTAAGTTATTGTTTAGGGGTTAGCTTATTTTGGCGTTATTTTATTTTGGACATAAGATATTTTTTTTCACTGTTGAGATTTGCTGTCCTCATTACTCATTCTTTTCACCTCCCTTTACGTTCATGCTCAAATGTCTCCTTTTAGGGAGCTGACTCTGACTGTGTTATTTGAAAATTGTATTCTTCCATCAATTTTTGATAACCCCCACCCACCTTTTTTGTTTGTTTTTTATTTCTCTTGTCTGTGTGTGTGTGTGTGTAAACCCAAAGAAATATGTTTTTTATATTTGTCATTGCTTATTATTCCTAGTAGAATGAAACTCCCTTGGGGGGCAGTATTTCTGAGGCCTTGAACAGTTCAGTAGTATCCTCTTGATTAAATAAATGGTTTAAATGTTCATTTTTAGTTAAAAGAAAGATTGCTTATTTATATGCTTAAAATGGGAAAGAATACACCATTTTTCAGTTTTAGCTTCTTTCTCAGGATTTTCCTACCTGCCACTTCCATAGGCAGTCTTTGATACTAAGGTTGTAGGAGATGTCACAGTGTCTCTTACTCTGAGGGCGCCTCATAGCCAGAGTCTGAATTGAAGGAAAGAAGTGTTGGAGTTAGAAGGAATCTATTTGTTTTTTTTATGAGTGTCCAATCATGAAATACTTTGATAAAAAGAAAGTGTTTGGATAACATTATTATGGTGATTATTTGATTTTATACACACTATTGAATTTTGGTTGGTTATCTGGGACAGTGCATCTGCATTCTAGCTTCAGACTTGCAGCTTTCTCACAGAGTTCAGCTGAGAGGAATTTCAAAGATACGACAGTGCTACACTGTTAAGGGTGGTAGACAGCGGTCACATGTGACTACAGAGCACTTGGTATGTGTCTGGTCTGAACTGAGGGGTGCTATCAGCATAAAATACACACTGGATTTTGAAGACTTAATAGAAAAAGAATATAAATTGTCTCAAGTATTTTTTTATATTACATGTTGAAAGTGTAATCTTTTGGATATAGTGAATTAAGTATTTTATTAAAATTGACTTTGTTTCTTTTTGATTTTATTACCTACGAGGTGTGCTTTGTATTTCCGTTGAACAGCGCTGATACAGAGCTTCTTTAAATTCACTAAGAAAGTTGGTGTGTTAATATGTTATATGTTTAAATAGCCATTGTAAAAGTTTTCCACACAACACTACTGACTGCTTTTTGGCAGTACGTTATTTTTCTTTTATAATTATGTTTTGATATTTGACAGATAGTGTTTATGCCTCTTGGGGAGAATGATTTGCAAAGCTTTATGTTAGGGCTTCATGAAAGAAGCTGAACTCTTGCTTACCAGTGTTCATCAACTATGTACTTACCATGCTGACCTCCCACAGGAAGAATTGACCCCCTCCTCTGTTACATTCCTAGTGTTTCTGTATGTGCTTCTGTCATAGGGCCTGTTCCATATTACTGCACTTAGCTTTTACGTGCCTGTCTGGCTTTATGAGCCTTTTAAAGTCAGACATATTTAGAGAATGTGAATTAAATTATTTCATCTAGTCAATAAATATTTATTGAGCTTTTGTATTAGCAGTACATTTTAGAGGAGGGAATAAATCTGTCATGATTCTTAAAATTTCAGCGTATCTAGATTTAATGTATTGAATATGACTATATTTCCACAAAAAGACTAGCTTATGAATTTTCTAATACGTCTCTCCTTATTTCAGCGTAACATCTCAGAATTTGTTTGACAATGTCAGTGTAGTAGGTCACTAGTCATACTACAATTTCGTCTTTTCTCCTTCTGAGACAATGTATGCCCACCCTGAAAATGTGGATCAGTGTGTTTCTTGTCCTAGGAAGGTAGCTCCAGCTGAAGTGAATGTCCTTGATTTTTTTTTTCCTCAATACTGAAAAATCTTTCAAATGCAGAGATGTAGTCCCACTTAACTGGAGATAATTCAGGCAAACAAAGGTATCAAAAGGTGCAAAACTTTCAGAATAACAAACAGGACCAGTGGTGAAATTTCATTATGAATCTAAGATACATTAAATCCTGGATAGTTGCTTTTATTAGGTCCATAATATAATGACAGAAGCATAACCAAATCTTAAACTACTAAAAAATTATAAAAAGGTGTTATTTAGTGGGAAGAACATTGTACTGGGTAGATTTATCACTTAAAGTAGTTTTCAAGCCCAGGCAAACTGCTTTACCTCTGAAGTGAAGCTCTTTCTCATTTTATAGTCATTATAATAGGCACCCTTTCAAAATTATACAGGGCAAGTTAATTTGGGGTATAAATAAGAGAAATGAATGTGGAATTACTTTATAGATCACTATTATGAAATTGTGGTAGTCTTTTTTTTTTTAATATTTTATTTATTTGACAGAGATCACAAGTAGGCAGAGAGGCAGGCAGAGAGAGTGAGGAGGAAGCAGGCTCCTGCTAAGTAGAGAACCCGATGCGGGGCTCGATCCCAGGATCCTGGGATCATGACCAGAGCCGAAGGCAGAGGCTTTAACCTACTGAGCCACCCAGGCACCCCAAAATTGTGGTAGTCTTATGTAAGGTATGCACTAGCGATGAACATTTAAAGCTTCATTTTGAAAAGAAATTCTTATACTCTTTATTTTTTAAAACATGACTTTGTTATGCCAACAATAGGCTATGCTTTTTGCATTTGTGCTCACGTATTCACATTCTCCCATCCAAGTACTAACCAGGCCCGACCCTGCTTAGCTTCTGAGATCAGACAAGATCGGGCGCGTTCAGGGTGGTATGGCCATAGACACGTATTCACATTCTGATAGTCCTTGTAGCCAACAGATATTTAGAATCTCTGGTTGGCTCTGATCTTTGACTATGTAGTGGTAGGTAAAAGCTTGCAAACCCATATGGGTCACACCATACACTGACCTCAAAAAGATCATTGTTGTAGCTACCAAAGTTTATTTAGCTTAATTAGTTACACAGCAAATACCTGCATAATGTATGTACTATGTATACATGCACACATTTATCATAGTCCTCATTTTATTATGTGGAGCTTTGAAAAATTCCACTGGATAAGAAAAGATAAAAAAGGTGAGAATCCTTTTCGGAGACTACATTTTTAATTTTTTCTGGGCTTTTCGGTCTTTTAAATGCTGAGTAGAAGATAACTTTTGAGCTGGAAGGACTGCCAGTTCCCTACTCGTTGTGGTGTCCTCTCTGTACACTAGATGTCAGTATTGCCTTGCTAGCCGGCAGTCCTATATGTTTATGGATCGGTGTAGCCAGGCTGCTATTATTGATAAAAGGAAAGATCCATGTACTCTATAAAAGGCTAATTAGTTATGAAAGTTAAAATTAAATATAGGCTGTGAATATATTTTACAGACTTTTTCTCTACAGATATTTATTAATATAAAAATTTAAAATGAAACTGAAGTGTATAAGTATGAAATCATGTTATATATCTGAAACTAATATAATGTTATATGTCCATTATACTTGAGTAAAAAGAAAAAAAGACTACAGTTTACAAAATAACCCCAAAACTGAAATAGACTATCTCATATGACATAAAGCAAATGTATTTCTTTTAGGATATATCTGAAGAGATTATAGGATCACCCATCCCAGAACCTAGACAGCGCTCAAGACTTTTAAGATCTCAGTCAGAAAGCTCTGATGAAGTTACAGAATTGGACCTTTCACATGGGAAAAAAGATGCTTTTGTGTTGGAGGTATTACTGCATTAGACTAATTTCTCAAAATTTTTGGAAGATAAGATGTATATTGTTACAATCAGATCCTAAATTGATATGATGTGATTTTGTATTATTGCAACTGCTATAAATATACAAAAAGTTTATTATAGAAATTATAGCAAATTTTAAAATATTAGAAGTTGGTAATATATTTTTTTGATCAAACCCAGGTACAATAATGCAGGTGGTTTTAGAAAAATTAATGTATGGGTTGAAATAAAATTAAGATAGTGCCTAAGCTAAAAAAGTAATGCTTAATTCTTAGAGCTATTTTTGTAAACTTGAATGAATTTAAATTAAAGTGCTGTTTTTTGACTTACTATCTCTACTTGCTTCATGTGTTATAACATGTTAGTATAATTGTATCCTTTCACATGTGTATAATAGCACTACGAATTCTGAGTATAGTGTTTTCTTACTGAATTTAGAAGGTATGGTTGAGCTTCCATTATAAAAATATACTCAGACCTTTCCTGGAGAATAAATGTGGCATGGAAGATATATGGAGCCTCCTGCCTCGCAAGTCTGCTCCCTCTGCCCTGCCCTATAAACAGTTAGCTTTAATGGAGATAAATGATCTTCCTTTGGTATTAAGGAAAGGAAAACAAATGAGGATATTCAGAAATGTTCTGGTAAGGTTCCAGTTGAGAGAAAAACATCAGATGCCTTTATTTTATTTTATTTTATTTTATTTTATTTTTTTAAGATTTTATTTGTTTATTTGACAGAGAGAGATCACAAGTAGACAGAGAGGCAGGCAGAGAGAGAGAGAGGGAAGCAGGCTCCCTGCTGAGCAGAGAGCCCGATGCAGGACTCGATCCCAGGACCCTGAGATCATGACCTGAGCTGAAGGCAGCGGCTTAACCCACTGAGCCACCCAGGCACCCAGATGCCTTTATTTTAGTAAAGCAGGAAGCTCATGGTAGAATTTTTGGGGGATGGGATTAGACATTTGAAGAATCTAGAACAGTGCCTATGAACGTGATCAGGATGTCAGCCATGGGAGATGCACAAGACTGAACTGAGGTGAGAGTGTTGACTTGTAGAAAACTCAGACTATATGGATGTTTGCCTGTTTCTCATATTTTTCTACAGTCTGAGAATGAACAAAAAATGGAGGTTGGTAAAAGAAAATGTAAGACTGAGGAGGTAAAAGGTGCTAGGGTACTTTTTGGGGTAGTGCTACTCAAAGTGTGCTGTGGCTGCCTATATAGCATCAGCACCATCTGGAATCTTGTAAGAAATGCAAATTCTGGAGCCCGTACTTCAGATCTAGTAAATGAAAATTAACTAAATGAAAATTTCAAGGTAGGCCCCAGAAATCTGTTTAACATTCTAGAGCATTATTGATCTTTATGGTCCTAGATCTTGGCTAAGTAGAGAGTGAAAGTGCTTCAGATCTGGGTAGAAGGCTGAGAGCAAGGTGCAGATTCAGTAAGAGAGGGAACAGACAGGACATTGTAGTTGGAACTGGGTGTGGAATATTTTTGGGAATAGTGGGTTGAAGTATGGCCGTGACTGTGGATAGCTATGGTAAAGTTAAAAATGGTTATTCAAGTCTCAATAGTAATGTGAAGGGACACTTGAAGTGTGTGAGAGTCAGTCAGATTCCTGCTGTATAGATGAATGTCAGCATATGTCTAGTTGGATGGTTTCACTATTTATTATTTTCAATGGAATATTGTGAATAAGAAAAATAGAATTTGGATTTATTTTTCTTAGCTGTGCCTTTAATTATCCCTATGTAATTCAGTTTTAAAGCAGTTTTGTATATAAGTCAAAAGATCTTTTTAAATTGCCTTTATTAACTTATACAAGTAGAGATAATTGTTTATATCTTTATAAGCCTTTTGAAACGTGTACTCATAAAGGCTTGAGAAAAGGCTCTCTCTCTTTTTTTTTTTAGCTGAATATACTTTATAATGTGAAATGTTTACTTAGATGTATTTATAATAAGTATTGTGGAAAAATTTACAGATATTAGAACTTTTTTCTTTAAGATTCTATTTATTTATTTGAGAGAGAGCATGAGAGAGCAGAAGGTCAGAGAGAGTCAGACTCCCTGTGGAGCTGGGAGCCTGATGTGGGGCTCGATCCTGGGACTCCAGGATCATGACCTGAGCCGAAGGCAGTTGCTTAACCAACTGAGCCACCCAGGCTCCCAGAACTTTTTTTTTTTTTTTCAAGTTTTGTATTTTAATTTAGGGGAAAATGGCTCCGCTTTTTCTTGACTCTCATGTTTTCTATTTAGTAAATAATAAAAACAATGATTTTTTTAAAATTTGAAGTTATTATACATTTAGTACTTACACAATAGTTCTAACCCTTTTATTTTCAGATTGATGACACAGATGCTATGGAAGATGTACATTCTCTGCTTACTGATGTTCCTCCTCCTTCAGGTGAACAGAAAAAACATACTTTTGAGATGAGACTTGTTTTATATATCAATATTTTAGTTCATAAATTATTATAGTAATACTAAATTTATTTATTTTTTTAAAATATTTTATTTATTTATTTGATAGAGAGAGATCACAAGTAGGCAGAGAGGCAGGCAGAGAGAGGGGGAAGAAGCAGGCTCCCTGCTGAGCAGAGAGCCCCATGCGGGGCTCGATCCCAGGACCCTGAGATCATGACCTGAGCCGAAGGCAGAGGCTTTAACCCACTGAGCCACCCAGGCGCCCCAATACTAAATTTATTTTAAAGGCTTTATCAGTGTCACATCCTGTCATGTACTTTGCTGCTCCAAGGCTAGTAAAACATAGTTTACAATTACTTATGTTAGAACTTAGGTGAACTGAGGGGGTGCCTGAATGGCTCACTCAGTAGAGCATGTGACTCTTGATCTTGGGATTGTAATTTCGAGCCCAATGTTAGAGATTGCTAAAAACTAAAATCTTAAAAAAAGAAAAAATGCAGGTGAACTAGATTTTTATCTTTATTTTTTATTTACTTATTTTGTTTTTCAAAGATTTTATTTATTTATTTGACGGGGACACAGCGAGAGAGGGAACACAAGCAGGGGTCATGGGAGAGGGAGAAGCAGGCTTCCTGCTGAGCAGGGAGCCCCGATACCGGGCTCAAACCCAGAACCCTCGGATCATGACCTAAGCCAAATGCAGACGCTTAACAGCTGAGCCACCCAGGCACCCCTAGATTTTAAAGATTCATTTATTTGAGAGGAAGAGAGCTCATCTGCATGAGCAGGGGAAGGGGCAGAGAGGGAAAGGGAGAGGATATCAAGCAGACTTCTCACTGAGCACAGAGCCTGTGAGGCTTGATCTCAGGGCTGTGAGAGTCAGATGCTTAACTGACTTGAGCCACCCAGGTACTTCTAGGTAGACTGATTTTTAATCCTTTCATGTTAATACTAAAAAAAACACCAAACTCATAATTTATTAAGATGGTGTAAAGTTTACGGAAAGTGTAGTGTTTTAGAAAAAAGAATAAATGGATCTTATAGTTAGAATTCCATGTAATAAGTGAAAAATGTTATTCTTTAACATAAAAATAGATAAAATAATATCATATAGTTTAACTATGATTTATTTTGACAGGCTTTTATAGTTGTAATACAGAGATTATGCCTGGTATAAATAACTGGACATCTGAAATACAGGTAAACATTTCATAATTTTAAGCAACTACAACGTTTATGATTTTAGCAAGTTCCTTCTTAATATGTTTTCTCTTTGACCACCTTATTGCAACTAAAATGTTAGCCTTTTTCATACCACATTATTTGTTATTACTCATTATTTGGCAGTTTTATCAACTGTCACAGTATTTAGTTAAAAATAATAAAATGTCATGCTATTATATCTCCCCATATTTAGATGTTCACATCAGTAAGAGTAATCCGATTAAGCAGCCTTAACCTGACTAATCAAGCCCTTAATAAGAACTTTAATGATCTCTGTGAAAATTTGCTGAAGGTAGGAACCTTTTGACTATATTTTAGTTAAATCTCCTAAGAATTTTGCAGTTAAAAAAGAAAAGTCTATATTATCTGGAATATCTTACACAGTTGTGGGCTGAATGATTTTTATTTACATATTAATCTTAACTCTCTCATCTGGTAAAATGCTAAAGTTGTGCTCTCCATCTTCATATGCCACATGATTAAATATATTTTAAGTTATTTTATAACTTTAAGCTTCATAGAAATGTATTGCATATGTGTAAATTTTAAAAAATCTTTTGTCTTATATTTTTATGACTTATTGATAATATGATTAAATCTTTTATTATTATTTAAAATAATGTAAGAATACACAAAATAGAAATGGACCAGCTTTGTTTTAATCTTTTAAACTTTTCTTTTGCCATGATATAATGTGCAGTGAAAAATCAGTTTAAAAAATTTTTTAAATAAAAAGAAGTGATATTACTAATATATTCTATTATGTAGAGCCTGTATTTTAAACTGCGGTCTATGATCCCCTGCTGCCTTTGCCACGTAAATTTTACAGTATCTCTGCCTGAAGATGAATTAATACAGGTAATTAAGATTCAGTTTATTGTTAAAGAAGATTTCTGGCTTTTATCTGATCTGTTTTAATATTATAAATCTGCCATAATTGAATAAATATAGAGGATTTTACTTCAAAATATTTTTAAACAAACATACTAGAATGAATCAGACCACATATGTTTTATTTTTCTGAATTCTGAATTATCAAAGGTAGAATATGCAATAGGATGTGTACTTACACGGGATTTCTTCAGTCCCTATGTTTTAGAGAAGGTACTTCAGCTCTTTCTGGAATATCTAGGTTTAGGTATATATGGCAGACTCAGTTGTAGTCTAAATATCTGAGGTTATCTCTAATTCTGGCTGAGAATCTTAACCAGAAAACCAAATTAGCCAGTTAATGTAAACTGTTCCATTACTGAAGACGATTACTGAAGAAGACTTGCGAGAAACTTATTTTGTCAATGATTATTTTGCTAATCATATTGTTTCTGTAATTCTAGGTAACAGTCACAGCAGTTGCAATAACTTTTGACAAAAATCAGGCTTTACAGACCACAAAAACACATGTTGAAAAGTCATTGCAAAGAGGTAAACCTGTGATGGATGGGAGCATAGTTCATGTTTGTCTACAGTTATAGTTCAGTGAAAAAGGTAGATTAAATAAATGACTTGTTTCTTGAAGAAGAGTTACTGTCACTTTTTCTGTTTATCAAGGTAACTTTGTGGTTGACTTGGTATTTTTCACATGTGAATAGGTGGTTGACTGGTGTTTATTTTATTTACATAGAGAGTGCTGCCTTTTTTTGGTTATAGCATATTCTGCAGTAATTTAGAGGTTTCTGTCCCAGGACCTCTGGGGAGGTCCCCAAGGCATCTGAGAACCTACTGATGCAGTTAGCACCATGTGTTTTTCTTAGGAAAGGTCTTTGGAGTTGTCCTTTATCCAGTAAAATCTAGGAAGTACCATTCTTAATATATCCCAAAGAAACTCCAGCTGTTAAAAACTGCTAATGTGTTCTGAAAAAAAGGAGAGGGAAATAGTATGCTTTCTAATATTTAAGGACTTACCAGCTAAATAAAATACTCGTGATTAGTCTAAAATTTTTATAGTTGATTACATTCTACATGTACAGCATTGAATTAATGTCAAATAGAGATGTATTAAACAATTGCATTCAGATATTTATCAAGGAAGATAAAAAATAGCTGGTTTAAGTATCATAGAACCAGTATGGTACAAATAATAGGATAATAATAGTTGTTATTGAATTCTTACTGTTTGGAAGGCATTATGCTAAGAGATTTATACTTAGTATTTTTCCGAGGATTCACAACAGTCCTAGCAGGGAAGATAGCATCTCTCAACATCGTGCGGGTGAAGGAAGGGTCTCCATGGGAGTAACCAAGAGGAAAATAACCAGAATAAATTGGATTGGGGGAAATACATATTTTATCCCAGATTCTTAATTTAAAAAAATTAATTCTAGATCATTACTAAATAACCGGTGTTTTTCTTGCCTCTCAAGTCTCTACAGATAATGAAGAACTTCTACAGTTTCCGCTGGAGCTCTGTTCAGATTCACTTCCTTCTCATCCTTTTCCACCAGCTAAAGGTTGGTTAAGTGAGGGAAATGCAAACACAAATAAATCCTAGTTTCTAGTTCCTTTTACTTCTTCATTGTAGGCAGTCTTACTTAATGTTGAGATGAAGATTTACTCTTCATTCCCTCATTGTCTGTTTCTTCATGTTCATGCAGGGGAGAGAGTAATATCCCTCTTATTTTAATTTCTCAAGTAATCTCATCATAAATTATTAAGGTAATGCTTCTTGTGATATTCCATTCTTATACTTCAAATGCATTAAAGTTTTATTTTCAGAACTCTGGATTTCCCTCGTGATATATTGGTATTTATATCTGGTAAGGTTTTTTCCAGCCACAATTGAAATTTTACAAAAATTTTTAGATTTTTAGACAACAAAATACTGATTTTCTCCAGAAGAGATGTGGAGAGGGGCGCCTGGGTGGCTCAGTGGGTTAAGCCTCTGCCTTCTGCTTGGGTCATGGTCTCAGGGTTCTGGGATTGAACCCCGCATCGGGCTCTGCTCAGTCGGGAGCCTGTTTCCCCCTCTCTGCCTGCCTTTCTACAGACTTGTGATCTCTCTCTCTCTGTCAAATAAATAAATAAAATCTTTTTAAAAAGATGTGGAGAGAGGTTTGGGTTGGGGATAGTACAAGTGAAAAAGGGATGAGCTGTCTTTAGAGTGTCTTGCTTATTATTGAGGAACATTGTTGTGTACTTAAAAGATACTGCCATATTTTCAAATGCAAAATGATAGTCTCAGCTTAATAGCAATAAATCTACTTAGATCTGTACAGTCTTTGTTGAAAAATGGGAGGTAGTATTTTCTATTTCTTTTCTGATTTCAGGACAATTTGTATTATAAGAATTATTTATAATTATGAATTATAATTGAATTATTCAGAATTACTATACCTTATTTTGTAGCATTACATATATAATACACGTGGTTTGTGTTTTTTCATAATTTTTTAATTCTGAGAAATGATGCATTTGTTATTTCAAACCAAGTTGGCTTTTCTAGCGTTTATATTTTATAATATAAGGAAAATTTTTTTATGATTTATACTTCTCAGTTTGATACCAAATTCGTTATGATACAGAATAGTTTTATATTCACACTGCATATTAGTAGAGTCTTTACTAAATCAGTGCAAGCCCTGTTTATCTAGGTAAATAGATCTTGTCTCATATTTTGAAGATTAAATATAAGCTACTTTTAGATTCTGAACTTTCTAGCATGGTAACTGTGGTCCACTTTCTTTTTTAATCTAAATTAAAATTCTAATTTAGAACTCCATAGAGAATTTTAGCATAGTTGAACTCCTTGAAAAAAACAGAGGAAAAAATTAAATCCAAAGATAATTTGAGTTCAGATTTGTAAATTAAATGTAGCTTCCAGAACAAAAAAAAATTGTGTAGAATCTTCCTTAGAACTGACTAGACAGAATATTTTTGAAAAACTTCTACTTTATATAGAAACTTGTATTTTTTTTTTTTTTTCAGAAACTTATATTTAACACAGGGTTAATTCCAGATCACTTTTAAGTATCATTTCATTTATCCTTATCCTGCAGAGCAAGGGGTGGGATATGGACAGGGAATCAAAACCAAAAATCTAATCAACAGCAAAAAGATTTGATCAATTGCTAATATATAGGTATATACATTTATGGATATTGGGCCCCTGTTAGCTCAGCTTTACCTTGTTAGTCATTACTGATTTCTGCAGAAGATTAGATTTAAATTCTATAAATTTATCATATCTATATTAATGCCTTGCAGTTTCTGCATTAGCTTTCAAAATGTTTTCAAAGGTAATTAGAATTAGTGCTTGTTGAGGTCATTAGTCTATTTTGTACAAATTGTACTCTGAACTGAAGAACAATGAAAGAAGAATTTGTGTAGAATAAGACCTATCTGAACAGTGCTTAAAATATTGCAACTTACTTTATAGTGTAGAGAGGGGCCATAATGTGGAGTAATAAAGTAGCAAACCTCGATTCTCTTCTCAGTTCTGCTACTGATAGTGTGAGAACTTGGGCCAATTAACTTCTAATAAGCCAATTAAGCCTCAGTTCCTCATATGAGGAAAATGTGAAAAGATTAAGATTCTCTCTGCCCTTTAAAATTCTCTGATTCCTTGGGATTCTATGGTTTATGGTTCTTCTATAATTAACATGTTTCTATTATTAAGAACAAATCAAAAGCCAATTAATCAAAATCAAAAGGTAGTGTTTTAGTTACATTAAAAATTTCCAAATAGCTTCAAATCTGTTAAACCAGTAATTTTTAAGCTCTGCTTCTCCAGACCATGGAGTTTCTTCAGAGGTACCTCATGGCCCTCTAAAAAGGCAGGGTGGGAAGGGAGCTGAGGGGCGAGTAGAGTAGTGAGAGATTAGATCTCTGGACCCCCTTCCTACCTCTGAACTAGAACAGCTTTGATTCAGTATGCTTTTATTTATTCATTTTCTATATGTGATTTTGTTGTAAGACAGAGTTTCAAAAAGTCTGAAAACCACTGAATCAGATCATGCTGTCATTATCATTTTCATAGTATTACATCTAATACTAATAGATAGAAAACTTTTATACTAAGTACTTAACTGCAAAACCTATGTGCTTTTTTTGAATATTACATTTTAAAATCATCAGTAAACACTAAGTAGTTTACCTGTATCTTTTTATAAATAGTTGTATAAATTGTAGTTTATGTTGCATGCCTGTTTACTATCTTTGCTTTCTCAAGTCTTCTCAGGAGGACATGGGCTATACTAAATATACTTGAAAAAGTTATCACAAAGTATTTTGGAAGATTTGGGGATAGGATGGGTTTTGCAATATTTTAAGATTTGAAGATAGGATGGGTTCTGAAAAATGTCATAGAATATAATACATGAATGTAGTAATTGAGCATTATAACATGAAATGTTTTGAATAGAGAATAGAAGTATGTGGCAAAAGTTAAGCTTAGCAATTTAGAAGTAACAGGCAAGAGAGGAAGGTAAAAGTGCTAGGAATAAATGCTAGGAATAAGTGCTTGGAATAAATAGAGAAAATTTCTCTATTTTCTTACATACAACCACAAGAGGCTTAAAATTTAACTACTAATATTGATAAGTAAATAATTGTATAGTTTTTATAGTTTTGTTAGGTCAGTTAGCTAAGCTGATGGAGCTTTTCTCTTTTTTTTTAAATTTTGAAAACTTTGAATCCTATTTTTCATGTTCTTATTACAAATACGGCAATTTATTAAAATTTTTTTATTTTATGTTGACAGAGTAGTTTCAAGAGGTATGCACAGTAATTTATTAATACTTCCATCTTTTAACTTGTAGATAAACCTTTCTGATAATTATCTTCTTATGTTACTGAAAATGAATGAATATTATGTGAAAAAAGATGCTTCAATTACATGTATCCTAATTCACTGAGTAGAGTAAGCCTGGGCCTGAATTGTCCATCCATGTTCAAATTTTTCCTTTCATCTTTTGTTAAACTTAGTTTTGTTTCTCAAGGTAACAAAATATTTGTTTGATATATGGTTGGTTTGGTTACCTTGCTCTAAGTATTTGATTTTTCTGATTTGAGTATTAAAAGGTGCTGAGCCTGAATAATTTCTTCCAGGAAATTATCATGTGAAGGTCACCAAAATTCTTGATGAATACTATGAGGAACATAGATGATTGGCATCAATGTAAATACTTATATGAAGCTGTATTAAGAAAAAAAGGATGGTATAACAAGTTTTTTATATCACTCCCATGATGTTTTTTCCTCATCAATAGTGTGTATACTTTAGTTCTCTGAATATTTACTACTTTACTCTGAAACGGCTTTAAGAGATTTAAAAAATGTTATAAAGGGATGGAACACATTCAGTAAAAATGGAGAATCTGAGTGATGGTAATTGGGGTGAAAAGTAAAAAAAAAAAAAAAAAAAGATTTGTTTTACAGATTGCAGTTGATCTCAAAAATTTTATACATGTAGTTTTTATAGAAGGTTAGCATATTATTTTTGATACATGTCTAAAGACCTAAATCTCAATATCTTAAATACCATACTGTGAGGCTTAAGATCTTAGGGAAATGTGTGTGAATCATGTGCCACTAGAAATATATCTCAAGTACTTAATAAGTTTATAATAGGGTAATAGTTTTCATTCAAATTCTGAGAGGTTAAGTCTTTAAAAAGGATTAAGTCAATTTAGTTTTTATTTACTTTTGGATGAAATTGTATGGAAGAAAAGTCTTTTATACCTACCTTGTTCCTGCTTTCATTTTGCTTTATGCTGAAGTGATAGTCTCATGTTTAATGGCATAAGCTATAGGCTGGCAGGAGTACTCTTTTCATTAAGCAGCTGCCAATTAATGTGACAAGCATAGGTCAAATTCTGGATTTCAGTATAAAAATAAAATCCTCAATACATTGTATTCCATAATTAGGTATCACATTTGAAGTTTTTTTAATTTTTATTTTTATTGAGGCTATAAGGGTTATTTTTGTTAAGCCAAATTTGATTCTAAAAGGTAGTTTAATTTTTTACATTTAATGACTTGCCTTACATTTTTTTAAAACTAGTGATTAGAAATATAAACCTATAAAAACTACAAAAAGTTAGCTTTTATTTTATCCTGCCAATGAATGGTTCTAAATTTTTAAAACTATTACACAATTCTTCGCACTAACTAAAAATATCTTTATGTATTAACAATTCATTGCATGTCTGTTTTTTCTCTCTTTTTAAAATGTATTATATCATTATGACCAAATGGTAGCAAAAATAAAAAATATTGAAGTTCTCCATGTTATTGATGGCCCCAACAATTAGTGGGAAGTCCTGAAAGGGGAGAGATGTTGAGAGGAAGGAGATTGAAGGGAAAATAGAAAGCAAAGAGTGGAAAATATATGAGAAACTTACCTGAGACATGGGAAGGAAGGAAAGAGAGAACTGATGGAGAAGTGTAGGGATAAGGATCTTTGCTTCCTCGAGGCAGCTTAAGTTCAGTGAAATCCAGAATCTGAGGAAAAGGGAGTAAGGAGCAAAGAAAATTGAACTGGGTTACTAATGAAAATAGGTGTTATGGGGCGCCTGGGTGGCTCAGTGGGTTAAAGCCTCTGCCTTTGGCTCAGGTCATGGTCTCAGGGTCCTGGGATCGAGCCGCGCATCGGGCTCTCTGCTCAGCATGGAGCCTGCTTCCCCCTCTCTCTCTGCCTGACTCTCTGCCTACTTGTGATTTCTGTCAAATAAATAAAATCTTAAAAAAAAAAGAAAATAGGTGTTATTTGGAAGAGAAGATCTGAAGGGTGGGGGAGAGGGGAGAAGTGGATGCCTGGAAACAAAGGCAGGAAAACAGAAGATGGGGTTTGAAGAATAGTGGTGTAGGCTGTTGACACCTTTAGTTGGAAGCTTTAATGATGTAAATAGAGAAGCTGTTTGTGTTTGTCGTCTAATGTATGTATTGTAATGGTAGCTGAGTTTTTCCTCTTAGTGGACTATCTACTTTGAAGCTATTTACATTTTTTTCTATGCTTTAATAATTTTTAGCTCTCATATGGCAATTTCATTATCAATCCACCAATATTTGAATATCATTATGGACAAGATTTATACAGAGTGTTTATACACATAACTACATATACACATAACTCTGTTGTTAAGCCAGATTTTATAGTTACAGGACATAGCTAATCAGTGCATCATAGATTGATGGAAATGCCGAAGGAGATATAAAACAAATTTTGATCATAATAATGTAAAACTGAGAATGTTTAGGGACACGTGGGTGGCTCAGTTGGTTAAGCGTCTGACTCTTGGTTTCAACTCAGGTCATGATCTCAGGGTCCTGGGATCCTTCTTCATGTTGGGCTCCATGCTCAGTGAGGCTGCTTGAGATTCTTTCCCTCTCCTGCCCGATTCCCCCCATGCATGAGCATGCACTCTCTCTCTCTCGAAAATAAATAAAATCTTTTTCAAAAGTTAATAAAAAAGCCAAGAATGTTTATTTTTAAAAATTTTTTAAAGATTTTGTTTATTTGAGAGAGACCATGCTTAACCCAGGAGCCCCTGTCTATTTTTTTTTAAACATTTTATTTTATTTTATTTTATTAAAGATTATTTATTTGAGAAAGAGCAAGAGAGAGCATGAGCAGGGGACAGAGGGAGAGAGAAGCGGACTCCCTACTGAGCAGGGAGCCTGGCTTGGGGCTGGATCCCAGGACCCCTGAGATCACAACTGGAGCAGAAGGCAGGCACTTAACCAGCTGAGCCACCCAAGCACTCCCACCCCGAGAATATTTGAATAGCTAAATAAAACATACATTTTTTAAGACTTTAGATTGTATATATATATTTTTTTAAGTAGGCTCCATGCGCATTGTGGGGCTTGAACTCACAACCCCGAGATTAAGAGTTGTATACTCTAGCCATTGAGCCAGCCAGGTGCCCCTGATTGCATATATTTTAATATTTTAATCTGCCACAGAATCTTCAGAAGTTTCAGGAACTTTTTTTAGTTTTAGTAATATTCTTAAGGTGACCAGATAAGATTACCTCAGATACTTTTTAATTATTCAGAGCAAAGATGATCTGTAAATCCTAATGACATAAAGTGAACAAGTTGTCTGAGGAGTTAGTGATCGGCATAGAGCTTTATCATAGCCAGCTGATACCTTTTCATAACCTTTTCATTGGTTATGGTTATGACTGTTTAGAAGAATGGAGAGGCCTCAAACTTCAGAAGCACTGGAGCATATATAATTGTAGGAGGAAGAATCCTTGTCACATTGTTTTATTTTGGTCATCAGTATGCTCAATTCCACTCAACTGCTTTTAACCTAGGCTAGTCCCCTTCCCCACACTGATAGGGCTTGTTAAATATTGTTAGAAGGTCCTAAGAGAATAAGAAAACCTTATGTTCTGTTTGCCTTTCTCACTTTCTAAGGTTGTTCATTTATGGATAGCAGGGTTATCACTTACGGGTGACTTCTTAATGAGGCAAAATAATAATTTTCTTGTATCCAGTGGGAAAGGAAATTATAAGAGAAGTAGGCTGCTGTGTGGCTTGAATGAGACTTTCTGCAGCAGGAATGGGGGGAACCTAACATAAGAAGGGTTTGTCTCAAACTCTTCTATTCAGGTATGGCTGACAGTGGGCATTAGCTCTTCAACAAAGCCCAAAAGATTTTAATAAGATTTCTAATCCTGAATATGAAATATGCTTTTTTTTAAAGTATTGACTTAGAGATTACATATGGATTTATTTCTTTTTCACCTTAATTACTAGTTTACCACCGAGCCAGACAGCTAATACCTGCAGTACCTTCTCTTTTGAGAAGCCTGTTACCCTGGAAGCCAAACTGTAACTGGAAGAGCAGAGTAACTGAGAATCTGAGGTTATTAGACACCTGCAGTATTCAAATGTCTGAAGTGCCGATGTTCGTCTGTTCCCAGGACCATCTCATCTTGGGCCTTTTCTCTGAGAGAAAAATTAAGATCCTAGCGAACATGTTGGATGAACCTGCTCTCCTTAAATGAGATGAAAAAATGATCTATTTTAACCTTTCCCTTAAGAATATCTGTAATTTAAAAGCTTTTTTTCCCCCCAGATTTTAATTTAAATACATTTGCATGTGGAGGCAGGGAAAAGACGTTTTCCCTTGTTGCCCCCCACTTTTTTTGGAAAAAAAAAATTTCCATTTTTTGGGAGAAGTAATAATGTGCATGGTAAAAAATTCAAATCTTACCAAAAAATCCTATAGTCCAAAATCAAGCTCCCTTCTCCATTCATTTCCCTTTTCAAGAGGCAGCTACCCTCGACCAGCTTTATTGTCTGTCTTTGCAAAGATATTCTATTTTTTCCTTTTTTAAAAAGCAAGTATTTTACAGATCACTATGTCCCTTAATTTTTTTTTCACTTGATATTTAGAGTTGAGAACAGATAACTTTCTACATGTTTTTCTTTGTGAACATTTGTCATTAAATTATTACAGTTGCTACTGAGGACTTTCATATTACCCAGATAATACTAAGATATAGAAGATAATTTCATTTTAGTACTTTTCATATTTTTTAAGCTTTTTGCCCCCAGTTTCTTCATTTAAAAAACTTGCACAGAATTCCTGATGCCAGCTATATTTTATTGTAAGTCTGTACTCCCCGAGTCTGTACTGCATAGGACATAGGAGAGCCCTGGGACTCTCCTGGCATATGTAAGCTTGGGTAGGCATTTGCTGTCCCAGCTTCTACACTACAGCCTTTTTCAGTACTGAACTAGCTGTCCGTAGAGATGTGGTAAGCTTCTGAATGTCAGTTTTGTTCTGGTCTCCTTCCTGTTGGTTCCATCTCCTTCTGGGCTTCCATAACTCCTCAGGATCCTGAATCAGGGAGGATGTTTTCTTGTCTAGATCTGCAGTGTGAGGGCATGATGGTCAGGCACTTGCGCAGCATGGTACCCTCACAGGCATTTTGTGGATCCTACCTAGTAATCCCTTTTATTCAATGGCTTTGTATTATAAAAGGAATGTCAGTCACTGTACACTTTCCAGTATTAGTTAGTGGTCACTTGCTTGGTAAAAATGGGAAGAGGAGGGAATATGGAGAGATACTCCCATTGCACCCAATTAGCAGAAACCTGTATAAATCTTATTTTTAAAAGGTATATCTTTTGTTAATTTAAGAATATTACCAAAAGATTAACACACTAAGCAGGGATAAAAATATGTATTTACTTAATTTATAAATTCTTTTTAAAAACTGCATGATTGCAGTTATTCTTGGTGTTTTTTATGAGTTATTTCTAACTCGGCAACGCTATTCTTTCAGTTATAAAATTCTTTGAAACAAAAATTCAAATATGCTAATGTAGAGTCTGAACTTTAGAAATAGATTATGAAGGTTTTTCTAATAGTGCTGTTCAAATTTGTACAATACTTTAAGCAGGTATAATAAAAATACAAAATACTAGGGAAAATTCTGGATGCTCCTTTTATAAAGTTAGTGTTAGTGGAAAGGGAGCGATTCCAGTTTGGAATCTAGCTCTGTCTATGGGGAACACTTTTTAGTTCTATGATGTGTTGATGCCACCAGAGGGAGCTGTTGATAGCAAAGTCCTTGAATGAAGGGGAGCTGGTGAGGGGGAGGGTTATTGCTTATAAGCAAGCAGTTGGTGTTTATCTTTGAGACGTAGGTTATTGCCTGGTCTATAATTTTTAATCTTACTGACCTCCCACCCCCACCTCCCACACACAAACATTTCCCCTCTCCATGTTTCATTTCAGATTTTCTTCCTAATACATTGATGCTTTTCTGTGCTCAGTTTTTTTGCCCTGTTTTCATCCTACTAACATTTGTTACTATGTTTATATTTTCTCATGTCTATAATGTTTCTGAAACTCTTCTTGTGTTACAGTAACAAGTAGTCTTCCTTGGCATGATATTTATTAACTGAGCTAGTTTTCATAAATCAATAGATACTGCATTTAAAACCTAAATACTTCTATTTGGTTTGCTTTTATAATGAAGCCATAAAGATTTCCTTGTATTCATCTGGCTCATAGAGGTTTTGACAAACAGCAAAGAAGAGATACTGGCTTGTACTTAGCATTCAAGCTAATGTTGTTCATATTGTCTTATTAGAACACCTGGAGAGTGCAAGTTCTAACTCAGGTATACCAGCTGCACAGAGAGGTGAGTTTGTCTAATTAAGCAAGTAGTCACCAAAGGTGTGAAATTCTAGTGTGGTGGTGCATAAACATACAGACATTGGAGAAATGCACTGGACAGTGGAATAGACACCAAAAAGTGACTTTATTATAGTTAGAATGTATCTTTTAAAATACTAATTAAACTAATATTTACATTTTTAGCATTTTAATAGCTTCCCTATTTCTAAAAATAAAATCTTAGCTCTTTAACATTTTTTTAGCTCAGTAATAGTAAAAGCTATTCTTTTGAAAAAGGAGAACTTGTTAGACTCCTACTTGCCTCCCCACTCAGTGTCATCAGAAGCTTTGTTGCCAAAATCAGATGTGAAAACAGAATATTGACCAAAGTGACCTTTTGGCTTTCCTGTTACTGATGGTAGAAAGAATGTGTTTTAATAAAAGATAAGTCAACTAGTGATTTTTAAAAAATGTATTCTTCAGCATTTGATTCTCATTATTTTTTTGATTTTCAGGGTAAAAATAGGGAAGTGAATTATTCACCAAGTTTGAATTATAAATTAAAGTCATAAAATATAAACAGTTAACACATTGTAAAGTAAAAAGAATGGGAAATAAAGTTAGTTAAAGCAGTATATGGTCCTTTCACTGATACTCTGTTAGACTTTGCTTCTGTTTTCCCTAAGCAACCACACAACTATGACATCACCGAAAACGCTCAGCCGGCTAACTGAGAACTTGGTTTTGGACAAATCAGTGTCTAAAGCTTGACTCTTTACTCTCTCTCTCATATCTGACTTAAAAAGGACCATTCTTTTTCTAAGTTACAGTTAAATTACGTCATCAGAAGGAGTGTTATGACGAGTAAGAGACGTCACCCATATTTTTTCTTTGTTTTTTCTTTTGTTTTCTGTCTGTGTTTTCAGCAACGTCAGTTGATTACAGTTCCTTTGCAGACAGATGCAGCAGCTGGATAGAGCTCATTAAACTGAAAGCTCAGACCATAAGGCGCGGATCAATTAAGACAAGTAGGCGGATGTTTCTACCACATTATGATCTGAGAAGCATATCCCTGATTTCCCAGTGGTGAAGGCTAGACCTTACGACCCAGCAATAACATTGCCAATCAATCACGTACTGGAGTGTGAAAGCTGCAGATACTAATGCTCACTTAGCCCAAGTTATTAAAGGGCCTTTAGATTTGTTCATTTTAACTGTACAATTGTGTTTTTAAAATTTTACTTTTTGTGACGGTATTCTTCCAAGTGTATAGATAGATACTATGTCCCTCAAGTGGAAGGAAATTAGGAGCTCTCTTGTTGAAGAGATGGTCTTCCAGGACCCAAGCTACCATGTAGTGATGGCATCTGCTAGTTTGCTGACAGTGATACCCAGAGGGTTAAAAGAATGAGGTATTTCTGAACAGAAGATAGCTAACTCTTATCTCACTGCTATAACCAGCATCATTACCTACATGTTCTTTATACTCCATGTGTTCTGGTAGAGTCTGAGGTAAATGTATTTGAGTGAAGGAATTGACATTTAAGAGGAGGAAACGATGTTTTGGAGGAAGGATCACAGGATATGAAACCAGACAGATCTGGTTTGGGATCCTAGAAGTGTCGTTTTAATTGCTGTGTGACCTTGGACAAACTATTTAACTTCTCTGAGACTTAGTTTCCTCATGCGTAAAATGGGGATAATAATACCTATGTTGCTGGATTGTTATAAGGATTAGATATATATACATATATACATATGTATGTCTGGCTTATGGTAGTTACTTATTAAGCAGTAGCTATTATTTATGTTACTTTATAAACAATCAATTATTAGACAGCCAAGGTCATTGTTAAGTTTTTAAAATTGTGAGTTTGATCAAAATGGTTTGAAGAAGAAACCAATTACAACTAGTTAATGTAAGGTTTATCTACAAGTTGACAATGATGAAGTCGTCTGAAAAAGATGGAAAAAACTGCACTGGGAAATATAACAACTTTCACACTCTCTTTGTAATAATTTGTTCCTACAGCAGATAATTTTTAATGCTCTACCGCTTTTTCTTTTTCTTCACTTTATAACGATCATTGTGTGTGTAGCTACACCGCATCAACATTTTCTTTTGCAGGAATGCCATTTTTCTTCCAAAAGAATTCCATTCCAGCATTTCCTCTTAAGTTTTTCTTTCTCTCTCTTTTTAATTGCATGCAGTGCATGATAATTTCTTTACTTTCATGACATTGCTTAGCCTCACAGACAGCTGAATGTTGTCACCACTTACTTGGAAACCTTAGGGAATAATTGAGTTACCAACACCTGATCTTAATGTTTTTTCTTCTTTCTCCAAATTTAGCTGTGACAGTTGAAAAAGCAAGTCCTATGGGTGAAGGAAATTTCCGGAACCGTTCAACTCCACCTTGTGCAAATTCTACAGTTGGGGTTGTTAAGATGACACCTCTTTCTTTTATTCCTGGAGCGAAAATAACTAAATATCTTGGAATAATTAACATGTTTTTTATTCGGGAAACCACTTCTCTTCGTGAGGTAATTTTACAACATTGTTTTTGTGAATTTTCTGATTAAAGACAGTAGTAACAAAACTGTCTTCAGATTGCTTTTTCAGATTGTTACTACAATTTCGATTTATTATTTTTTGCCAAGTAATCACAACACACGTGCACATACATACAACTTTTTTTTTTTCCCAATAACCTGTATGGATTGATTCTAGATTAGACTTGCCAAATTTCATATAGCACCTAGTATTATCACAAGAGTTATGTTGGATTTAACTTCATTTATTATTAGAAATCCCAGATCCTCATTATATGATAAATAAAACAAGTAAATTTATCAATGTATAATTAGAGATTTAAAACAGCCTGAAATTTCAGCTTAGTTTTCTCAAGTAGTTATTTGTCTGAGATATATTTAAATAATAGTTTTTAAGGACTTACATTAAGAAATCATAGGGGACTAAATTATAGATAGATGTCTATGGGGATAGTTTATAATTTTCTCCCCCTGAAAAAGAATTAAGCTGCTTGTTTTATTTCCACCTCTCCAAAAGTACATGAGAATGCCATTTATTCAAATTCTTACTTCTTACTGGGTAACAGTAGTTATAATGTTTTGATGTGGTCAAATTTAAGAATCACAGTCAGCCTATTATATCTGTAATTACACAGGAATTTAAACTCAAGAAAAAAATTGTATTTATATTGTATCTTATGTTATGAAATAAGACTAGAGCAAATACTGTGAATAGGGAAATTTTTTATTGAATAGGTATGAAACCCAATAAACTCTTCAGCAGTTTGTATTTTTTTAAAGTGTGTACATTATAAAGATGACTTAACTCTGCTTTTTTCCCATTTTCTCTCCATTAACATTCCTACACTTCCTTAGAAATAATAGCCATCATACTATTTTTTTTTTCAAGTAGGCTCCATGCTGGGTGAGGAGCCCAACACGGGGCTTGAACTCATGACCCTGAGAGCAAGACCTGAACTGGGATCAAAAATCAGACTCTTAACCCCCTAAGCCACCCAGGCACCCCAGCCCTCATACTGTTTTTTTAATATCATGCTCACCTGCCTGGCACAGTGCCTGGCAGAGTAGACATAGGTATTTTTGTGTCATTGAGGGAATGACTTCTGACAGAATGATTAGGTAGATGTTTCCTTTACGATAAATTAGTTTTAAATCATATTCTAATTGTGTTGAGATGGAGAAGACAGTATCTTAATATAGTCTCAAAATCCTTTGAGACTTTAATATAGAATTAAATTAGGTGACACTTAAGCCGATTTAAGTTTGACAAGGAAAGTTGAGTGTGAGAAGCTAGTATAGATTGGTTAATTAACTTTTCAGTTGCTCTTAATAGTACATGGATATTGCATTATTTTAGTCCATAAAATTTTATCCCCTAAGTGCCTTCTCTACTACTTGAGCAGCCATACCCCAAAATGTTGCTTCATAGTAGATTTCCCTTCAACAGAAATTTGTAATATTAACTGGATGGCATAATATCCCAAATTTATTCATTGCTTGCTAAGTTACTTGCTTTCAATTATGTAATCTTTTAAGAATTACCCCTCTGTAGTTTCTGTTACTCTGCCATCAGAATTTTGAAGTTTAAAAGACAGGAGTAAACCAGATACAAGTAAAAGAAAAAAAAATGTACTGAGCTGTGACTGAGTAGGAGGTAGGCTGAAATACCTCAATTCCTTAACTACAAAGAGAGCTACCTTTAGATAGCTACCTCTCTCTGGCTTTTTAATAAGGTGTGTTCTGGTCAAATGTTTTTTCTAACAGTACATTAAATTTTGCCCTTAACTTCCAATTTAAAGTTTGAAATTTATTCCTAGACTGTGTAAAAGCTCCAGTAGAATTCGTGGAAAACTTAGGTTCTAAAGTATTTTAGGCTCTCAGCTAGACTTTGGTTTCTGTTTTATTTTTGAACACTGAAAACATTCCCTAACCTACTGGATTTCATTCCCTAACAAATACGTATGGAATGCTCAGTGTGTGCACCTATTGAACTAGGTGTTAGCAAAGAGTTATGAGCAAAACAGATGGTGGTCTCTGACCTGATGGAATTTACAGTCTAGTGGAATGGAGCCTGGTGAACATTCAACAAGTAATCATTAATTAATGTATAATTACTAGTGATAGTAAGTAATATAAAGAAATACAACAGAGGCTATCAGAGGATATAACAGGGGAACTTAATTTAGATCTGAGAGTTAGGGAACGTTTCCCTGAGGAAATTACATATAAACAGGGACCTGAGGAATTGAGTAAGAATCATCCTGGAAAATTGGGTGAGGATCCTTCAGGGACTTTTACTGCACAAAGGATCTGAGGCAGGAAAAGTGCTTGATAGGTTTGAGAAACTGGTAAAAAGGCAAGTGTAGTTGGAACATGCTTCGGAATGGGAGATACAGCGAGCAGAGAAGTTTCTTGGTTATATTTACCATCAGTTTCTATGAGTAATAAGAATGATTTGATGGAGATACTGGAATTGGAGAAAGTTTGAATTCTTGCTCTGCCATTTTTTATTAGTTATGTGGTCATAGTCTTGGGCATGTGACACATTTTCTGATATCACTTTCATCATCTGTAAAGTAAGGGGATAATCCCCATCACAGACGTGTTCAATGAAGGTTTGTTTGTTCATTCATGCAACAAATCCTGTTGCAAGGGAAATTAAAATGATCACCCATTATATTAAGATCATTTAAGATGTTTTAGTATATATTATTTGGCATTTTGTATAAATTCATGCATACAGTTAGATTTTCTTGTGTATTACTTTCTAGGAAGGAGGAGTCAGTGGTTTTCTCCATGCTTTTATTGCTGAAGTGTTTGCAATGGTGAGAGCTCATGTTGCTGCGTTAGGAGGGAATGCTGTTGTCTCCTACATAATGAAGCAGTGTGTCTTCATGGAGAATCCAAATAAAAACCAGGTGAGATGCAGTTACAACCTTCTTTTGGGAGAACCTGAGGATTTCCCCCATGGCTTTCCCATCTCCCACTGTCTCCCCACCCACCACCAAAGAGAACTGGTCTTCAGAACTTTTTGATTCTAGATGCTTAAAACATGTTTAAACGAATGTATTGATAACTACGGTCATATATAGATCAGATGCTGTTTTCATATCCTGGGTATTCTTTTTTTTTTTTTTGACAGACAGAGATCACAGATAGGCAGAGAGGCAGGCAGAGAGAGAGAGGAAGAAAAGCAGGCTTCCTGCTGAGCAGAGAGCCCGATGCGGGGCCCGACCCCAGGACCCTGGGATCATGACCTGAGCCAAAGGCAGAGGCTTTAACCCACTGAGCCACCCAGGCACCCCCATATCCTGGGTATTCTTAAATACCTCTGGAAGTTTTGCTCCTAAGTTACTGTGGAAGACACCCTTTAGTTTGGACTATGATCTGTCCAGTTCTAACTACCATAGTGGTGAAGAGTATGTCCCAATTATTATTCCTCAAAAATAATTCTGTTAGTGAGGGCAAAGAATTATTGCTTAGGATTAATTTTAGAATAAATTTCTTTTATCAGTATTTTTCATGTAATAGCTCACTTTGAATTGTTAAAATTACCTTTAAAAAATTTAAAATTATCAATGGGGTTTTTTTGAATTTCCTTTCTTATGAATTGCCTTCTTTTTTTTCCCCTTTGTTCATTTTTCTGTTGTCTACCCTTTCCAAGTGACTTAAAAGCCTGTGTTTTTTCAGCTATGTAGCACTACCCCTAAAATAGCCTGAAACCATGAGCATATCTTTGAGTTGGTGATTGGACATTTCCTGTTGTTTGTATAGGCACAGTGTCTTATAAACGTAAGTGGTGATGCAGTGGTTTTTGTTCGTGAATCCGAATTAGAAGTGCTGTCAACTCAGCAGCCTACTGCCAACTGCCAGCCATCATGTCCTGGAGGAGAAGTTACAACCTGAAGTAAATCAGAAAGGAAGAGCTCAACTAAATGAAATTCATCTGTCTCCATTGTTTTGTCCTTATTTATCTTACTGGATTTTTAAAAGTGAATTTAATTTGAGATCATTAAGAAAGAAATGGTACATTATGAGTAGATTTGATTTGTCTGGAATTTCTTGGAGGCATGAGAATATTAAAATCTTGATGTTTTGTTTGCCAGTCCTTGTCAGGCCCCATGGGATCTTGAGTCCTCATTAAGTTTGGATAGATTTCTCAGAGAACTGTAGCAGAGATGGAAGTTACTTGTAGTTTATGTTGACTTTAATAAAATCATACTTTGAAACAAAATGGTGAGATTATCAAGAAATTGTAATAGCTATCCTAATGTAATTGAGAGAAACTAAGCAAGAAGTTTACAAATTGTCAATGAATTAAAAATCTGATTCGAGGAATGTGTGAGAAAATGGAGAAAAGTTTTAAAAACACTATGTGGGTTTCCTAATGTGTTTTATTTTGAGAACAACTGAATTTGGAATTTGGTAACAACTGAAAGGAAGAGTGCTTCAGCCATCTTTTAAAAACAAGTTAAAATTCTGCAGCTTGTATCCATACTCTGTCCTAACTGCTGTAAAAAAAAAAAAAAAAAAAAAAAAAAAAAAAGGTAATTAGAGCCAGTGCCCTTCCATTGAAAGTTTTAATAATGTCTGTAAGGAGGGAGGAAAAATCTATGTAATCTTGTTACTGGCCAAATTTTGTTAGTGTTTAATTTGTCTGGAAGAGGCTTGGCTTCAACTGGAAAGAAATTTTGTTGATGTAGTGAAAGTATGATCTAGTAGGAGCATAAAATTATTTCTAATAGAATCATACTGCACTCCTACCAAATAAACAGAATTATATCTTAGGGATTTTTGATGGTTAGTTAGATTGTATTTGGCATAGAATTTGGAAATGTAACTTGAATGTAAATATGCTGCAAAGTGTTGAATGTATACATAGAAATACTTTTTCTGTCAATGCCAAATACCTATTACAAATGAACCTTAAAAAGTACATTCCTCCTTTGCACAATAAAATTTCTTTATAAAACTTATGATTTTGCTCTTTCAGGATAACAAACCACCGTAAAGATTAGGAGTCATTTCCTTGTTATCACAGGTGTCAATATTTTTCTGTATTTTGTTTATAATTTTATTTTTTAAATAAAAAGTTTATAAACTGGAATATTCCTGAATCTCTTCTTTGCCTACTTTGTGTGGTGTAGTACTGCCATCCGATCACTTCCATTCATTCCTGCAGTCAGCAAACGTCTGTTGGCTAGCTCCTAATCCTTGAGGCACTTTCATTGTCTTTGGTAGGTAGGTATTCACATCGTGAATTCGCATTGAATGTATTCACATTCAACAACTACTGAATGCCTACTAGATATTAGATCCCAGTTTTAGGCAGTGAACAAAACACACAAGTTCCTATGATCATGGAGCTCGTTTTCAGTGGCTACACAAGTAAGTTGTAAACTGCTCTGTGTGTGTGTGTGTGTATAGACACACACACTATACATACTATACATATATATGTGGTATATATATATGTTTATGTATTGTGTGTGTGTATATATACATATATACGTACGTGTGTGTATACAGATATATGTACGTATATATGTATATACATGTGCACACACACACTATAACAATTGCTAATGTTTACTGAATGCTTACTATATACCAGGCAGTATACTAAATAAATATATATATATTTTAATGATTTTATTTTTTTGTCAGAGAGCACAAGCAGGGGCAGCAGCAGGCAGAGGGCAAGGAGACTAACTCCCTGCTGAGCAAGGAGCCTGATCCAGGACTGGATCCCAGGATCCTGAAATGATGACCTGAGCCAAAGTCAGATGCTTAGCAGACTGAGTCACCCAGGCACCCCAAACATTATTACTAATTCTTTAACATAAAAGTAGCTGGGTGGCATTAGCTCCATTTTGGTATGAACAATCGTATACTTAACAGAGGCCTGTGCTGATTTCTAAAAAAGCTGGAGTTTCCTTAACTACTCAGGCTTGCTCTGTCTGCTCACATGAGCCATTTGCTCATGTGCTCTACCTTTGAAGCATAATTAGCCCAGGCAAAGATGGGTTCCTTCCAGAAAAGCTAATGTTGCCCTATACCCCAAGAGCTACTGCTCTTTCCTTTGTGTGGATTCCCTCAAAAAATGATCATTTTTACAGATGTGCTGGGACTTACTACTTACTCTTTTGGAAACACTGAGGCCAGTTTTAGTATTTATAGCATGCCTCATATGTATCTCTTTCATTCATTATTGCTGCTCCAAGGGTCGGCTTCAAAACTTAACCAATGTTAGATTTGTTAACTGCACAGTCCCACTTCTTCTACTTCCTTCTCTTTCCAAATCCATTGCCATCTGGCTTCCAACTCCTCTGCCCTTTGTATGCCAATGACACAAGTACTGGATTGCAGTATTACATTGCAATTTTGATTAATGTATAGGTGGGATCATATACACAATTTTTAAGAGTGGCTTTATTTTTTTTATCTTTTGGCCTGGCTTTCTTCTCTTTTCCATCACATCTCCATTAATAATCTTCTAAAGAGTTATACTTTACATTCAATAAAATTAATCTCAATGTACAGTTCAAGGGGCTATGCCAAATAGGTCAGTTGTGTAACCAAGGTAAAGAACATTCCCATCACACAAGAGAACATTTTATATCTCTCTCTTTCACACACATACACACATGGACATACATTAAAAAAAACACATTTCCATCACCCCAGGAGGTTTCCCTTCTGTCCTGTAAATGGAATCTTGTGCCTTTTTTTTTTTTTTTTTTTAAAGATTTTATTTATTTGAGGGATACCCAGGTGGCTCAGTTGGTTGAGGGCCTGCCTTTGTCTCAGATCATGATCTCGGGATCCTGGGATCGAGTCCCTCATCAGACTCCTGGCTCAGTGGGGAGTCTGCTTCTCCCTCTGCCATTCCCTCTGCGTATGCTCTTTCTATAAATAAAATCTTAAAAAAGATTTTACTTATTTGAGAGAGAGAGAGAGCGTGCGCAAAAGAGAGAACGTGAGAACGTGGGGGGAGTGGGAGAAGTGGGGGCCCTGCGTGGAACTTGATTCCAGGATCCTGGGATCATGACCCGAGCCAAAGGCAGCCACTTAACTGACTGAGCCACCCGGGTGCTCCAGGATCTTGTGCTTGACAACTTCCACTTAGTGTAATGATTTCGGTGCAACTACATGTGAACAACACTTTTGGCTATCATGACTAGAGTGATTTTTTTAAATTCAGTTAACACTTTTCTGTGAAGACAGAGATCACAAATAGGCAGAGAGAGAGGAGGAAGCAGGCTGCCTGCAGAGCAGAGAACCTGATGTGGGGCTCGATCCCAGGATCCCGGGATCATGACCTGAGCCGAAGGCAGAGGCCTTAACCCACTGAGCCACCCAGGTGCCCCCTGAATTTCTATTCTTTGGAGTTTACCTTTTCTTGTTGATAATTTGCCATGTGTATGACAAAATTTCCCCTTATTTTGTTGTCCACCAACATAGTTTATTTTACCTTTTTAATCATATCCAAACATTTAATTTTATTATGAACAATATGACTATCTTTTCTTTCTTAGATTCCCTTAATTAAGATGATCTCCCCTTGATTTTTTGGTTAACTTGAAGGTTCACCAAACATGTCCTGAATTGCTCTCATCTCAATGGCTCCTCACCAAACTTATTTCTTACCAGATAAATGCCGGTCTTAGCTTGAGTCAGATACCTGAGGGAGATCCAAAGTCTAAGCCTTTCCACTACACCACCCAATTTCATGGAACAAGATGCATAAAAGTGAGGAGGCATGAAAATGTATGTGATATGAAAGTAACACATTTATTTACAAACAGTTTTATAGTTTCTTCTTCCCCAGGGGAGGATCTTTCACAGAGTACTTTGAGAATCTGATCTAAACTTTGGAACTTTTCCCCAGAGAAATAAGCAAACCCTTGATATTCTGCATACTAATCCAGAAGGTTTATTGAAACATTGAAATCCCCTCACTGACCCTGAACTTAAATCTAGTATAGAATCAATGGAGGAGAATAAGGAACCAGGCTGAAGTAGAGGTTAGGAATGATCAGGTAAATGCTATCCTAAAAATTTGCCTTTTCCGCAATAGGAAAGTCAAATTTTTAAAATTAGATTTTTAAATATTAAAAAACCCAAGGGTGTCTGGCTGGTTCAATTGGTGGAGCGTATGAATCTTGATCTTGGGATTGTGGGTTTGGGCCCCATGTTGAGTGTGGAGATTACTTAAAAATAAAAAATCTTTGAAACAAAAACCCCACCAATGTATCTATGGTAGGCAGAATAATCCCACCCCCTCGAAGACATCTGCAGCCTAATTTTTAGAACCTGTGACTATATCACCTTACAGGACAAAAGAGACTTTGCAGATGTGATCAGAGTTAAAAGACCTGGAGATGAGGAAATTATGGTTATCTTCAAGGGTCCTAGAATCTAATCTTCCTCAAAAGTGGAAGAGAAAGGTTTCAAAAAGTAGGTTAGAGAGATTCTATGAGATATGGACTCAACCTGCTTTTGCTGGCTTTGAAGAAGGAAGAAGGGAGCAACCAGTTGAGAAACGTGGGTAGCCTTATACTCCAGGAACGTTCCTCAGCTGACAGCTAGCAAGAAAACAGGGTTCTCAGTTCTATAACTGAATTTTAACAACTCAAACGGGCAAGGAGATCGATTCTCCCTTAGAGCCTCCAGAAAGGAACAGAGCCCTACTCATGGCTTGATTTTAGCTTTGCGAGACCCATATCAGGTTTCTGACGTACGCAACTGTAAGATAATAAACTTGCTTAAGCCACTAAGCTGGCGATATTTTATTATGGAAGCAATAGAAAATGAATACAAAGTTCTTATAAATTTAAACTACAGCCATATAGAAAGTTACAATATTTATGGTAATATGAAATGCTTCACAAACTCAGAATATAAGTACAGTCCTTTTATTTTTCTAATGAGTTGTTTTTTGAATACCCAACCTATTAGGATAAATCCAGAATGTCCCACCTTTGAGGTCGTCTCCACTTCTAATACTGTCCAAGAACTGTAGGAGCTCGATGCAGTCCCCAGGACTTTAAGGCTTCCCCATTCAAGCTCTGCGGAACACTCTTACCTTTACTTCTCACTGCCACATGATGTCGCTGTTGGAATGGACTCAGCACAAACGGACGGCGCGGGGTCTCCCGCAGTGATGACGCCAATTTAGCCAAGACTACTGCAAAGGTTTGCTTGATTCCTGCAAAGGTTTGTTTGATTCTTTAGCAGGTTGTCCTATTTCCTCCATGCCTACGTACACCATCTAAGGAAGCCTGCCAAGTTTCAGTTCCTAGTGCTCAAGCCAGCTGCCAATGGAGTCGTGAGAGTTTCCTATAAATTCTAGATATCAGAGGATGGTTTGTTTTTTAATACGTATTTTGCAGACATTATCTCTCAGTCTGTGACTTATTTTGTGTTTTTCAAACATTGTCTTTTGAGGGAACAGAAATTTCTAATTTTTTAAAAAAGATTTTATGTATTTATTTGACAGAGAGAGAGAGAGCACCAGCAGGGGGAGTGAGTGGGAGAGAGAGGGCCTGAGAAGGAAGGCCCAGGCAACGCAGGGCCAGATTCCAGGACCCCAATATAGTGACCTGAGCGGAAGGCTGACGCTTAATCAACTGAGCCACCGGGAACCCCATAAGTTTTTTAATTTTGAAAAAAAGTCTACGTTTTTTTTTTCTTTTGTGGTTTGCGCTTTCTGTGTTCTAAGAAATTTATGCCTAACCTAACATTGTGAAGATTTTCTAGAAATTTCAGATTTTGGCTTTACTTTTTTAGGTACATGATCGTTTCAAGTTACATTTTGTATATGATATGAGGTATGGGTTAAAACTCTTCCCCTTTCTGCGCACGGATGTCCATGTGCAAATTGCTCCAACACAATTTGTTGGAAAGACAAACTTTAATACATTTGATTGACTTGACATTTTTGTTGAAAATTAATTGATTGCCCATATACACAGGTGAGCCATTTTATTGGTTTATTTCTGGATCTGTCATGTGTTCCACATATCTATCCTTTTTCTGATATTACATGATCTTGATTCTTCTAATTTTATAGGTCTGGAAATCAAGGAATGTGAATCTTAAAAC